TATGACACGCTAACCCCAAAGCAGGCTAAACGCTCAGCTCCTTTCAGCAACTCGGCGCCAAAGCCTCGCCTTCTCTCCAAAAGCACCGAGTCGGATGGTGGCGATCTTTGGCCGCCAGGAGCACGGCAGAGTTGAGTGTGTGTGGAGTGTCAGGATGCGAATGAGGGGATCGGGTAAGGCGCTTGCCGTGCCTGCTTGGCCGGCAGTGATCAATGTGAAGGAGAGAATGGGGGAAAGTGAAGTGCTGCTGCTGCTGTTTGGATGGATATTGAACTGGGTACTTCGTCCTCCTTCTTATACCTTTGCTCTACGATATAGCATTGCTGGTCTGCTGTCTACAGCGGGACTCCAACAGTCCAACAAGCCAAATCTTCCAGGATGTTTCGCGCCTGGTTCCTCGAGTCAAAGCCTCCGTTACCCTGTCAATGTTCCCAAACACAAATGCATCCTGCATATACAACATGCCCTTATCGCCGGGACGGCACTCATTTCTTGACTCCTCACGATCTCTCCGGCTCGAAGATGTGCGTTGGCCCCTCCTGGTTCGCTCAGCGTTAACGCGCAAGCCCACCTTCCGGCAACAGGGCGGCTCGCCCATCCGCAACCCCAACTTCTGCACAAGCCATGGCTTCAGAACACCTATGGCGTGCTGTGGTTAGCGCTGCTTGTTGCATCCTTCAATTCCATTGTTATTCTACTCTGGCACTTGGGCCAATCTACCGATGCTGCTTGTCTCTCTACCTTATTTCGTCGGCACTTAATCTATCGGGCGGCTGCAAGTCATGCTGGTGTCTTCACGTCTCTTCACCCCTTCTACGAATCAGCGCGTCGATCCGACTGGTGAGGGTCCTCGTTGCCATGGGATAGCGGGTTGCAGGCGCGGGGTTTGTGACTGATCTCGACTTGCCTGCAATGTTGCTACTACCACACCTTGGCGTTCCTGCGGCCATGTCACACCAGCACTTGCAGAACCTGGCTTGCCATCGATACGATCGGTTGGCTACGGGTAGCTGATGCACATGGCTGCGTGTGAACCCCTCTTTATGTTCAGACGCTCTGTGCATCCAACGGCGCGGGATTGTAGTAACTGCATTGCAAGCCGGCCTAGAAACGGCACGATATCCAGTAGCCGACACGTTGATACCTTGTTGGTTTGGACTACTATCCTGGGTTTACAGATCGATGAAGAGTCTGCTTCTAAGGATGGAGAGAGTCCTGTTGTTGGTTGCGTGGGTAAAGGTATAGTCTACTGGTAACTAAGAGCGCCAGAGCTTGGGCCCAACATTTCAAGTCGGTGCAAAGTAACGCTGCAGAGGATCAGAGCACGGAAGCGCCATCACCATTGTCGGTTACGCCACAGCGTCTCTGTTCCTTGACTTCCGTGGGATGTAGTGTCACACTCGAGTGCCCGCATGGTAATATTGCAGGAAAGGTATTAGCAATGGGGTCGCTCAGACTGCAGTTGTCACCCACAGCGCTTACTTCACGTCCCGCAACGAGCAGGACTGTCGACAGCCTGTCAAAGACTTACAAGGACACCCACACCAATCCATTCCCCTCATCTTTCATTGATTCATCGGAGGAGCCGTAGGCCAACCTCTAGATATTTCCTCGTGTGCTAGGAAGGCTCCTCCACCAGATACACCACATCTGTGATGTAACATTCATCAACCAACAGCAACATCGACAACCGAGATCACAAGCCTACCACCTACGCTGCCTCCTAGTCCTCCAGCTTGCCTATCAATAACCAAACCAACATATACTAATGACTTGAACCAGTGAAAAACAAATCAAGTCGTAACCAAACCATCAAGTCATGCCAGATTCCCAATGCATCACATGCGCACACTGATCGAGCGCCATGGCTAGACCGTTAGTAAGGACATGACTGGCCTATCCCAGATGCCCCATGCTGCACAGGATTATAGCCATTTGATACCCTTGCTCCACCAGGAGCGAGCACCTTAGAAGTCAGAATCAGTCGTTTCTCGATTGAAGGCGAACCCAGTATTTGACTTCTCACTTTCTTCTAGCCCACTACTGGTAATGGGCTACAATCCAATTGAGCATACAATTATTACATGCAATAGTGCAATGGCAGTATTTCTCTGCTCGCATTCTATCTACAAATCAAGAACCAGTTCCAAGAGACATACACATAGAAAGGCATGTCATATCCCCTCAACTACTCAAGGCCAATAACCAGCTTCCTTCCTCATATTGTCATGTCAAGTCGTGCACACCCCCCTCACAAGTCAATCCCCAAATCACGCCCAACTCTCGAAATAACTTTCATCCCGTCAGCTGAACAGCCCGCCTCAACTGATAGGTACAAACAGAGGTAGGTATTAGTACCGATCTCGACAGACGTCGCCGCCTAACGCTCTCATCTATCGACCCTCTCTTGACTGTCAAACCGAATTGCGTGCACTAGACAGCTAAGGGAGATCAATCCCTCTAGTCAACTCTACACTCTATCTTTTCCACTTTCTGGTATGATCGAAGGCGGTGGTTGAGTTGGGGAGAAGACTACTACTCTGGGCGATTTTCGAAAGGCGAGAGGGCAAAGAGAGGAGAAAATTGGACTCACTTGTTTGGGCTAATTCTCTTGCATTGTACGTCTAAGCTCTTAGGCCGTTGAGCCGTGATTGGATGTGATCTATGAAATTCACTAAGTATTATTTTATCTACAAGAGTATGCCTCGATAATCAGAATCGTAATCCTGCACCTCTATCCAATCCATGCCGGTCAGCTAGACACTTTAGTTGGTTTTCGGAGAGTACACCATCGAGAACACAGCCTATAGATGCATATTGATTAGCTAAGAGTGAAACATAAGGCATTGCAAGGGTATACTACTTACCAAACCTATCCTCACGACCCTCCCTCCACTCTCGGACTTGACTTCTCAGTTCTCGTGTTGATATAGTTTGACGTTCGGAACCATAACGAGAAACATCACCGATAGTATCAATGGCCTCAATCCGCTCCAACATCTCCTTGGTACAGCCATAACCCCCCAACCAGGCATCTTGAATAATACTATCAAGCATAGGCCGGCCGGTGTGTATACTCGGCAAGACTAACATACCATGACTGTCCACAGACAGTTCAGGCTTGACACCATGTTCCATTTGATATATCAGCGACCCCATGGCGAACATATCTGTTTTTTCAGATAAAGTCCGCGAAGGGCCGTTTATCGGAGAAACTTCATTTGGCGCACCAATAGGGCTGTCGGTGCCAAAGTCAGAGAGAATCACACGGTCATGGTCATCTAAAGAAATACTGTCCATCTGAACATCTGCGTGCACGATGCCAAGGCTGTGGATATGGCATAGTGCATGAGTGAGATCGCGGTACCAGCGAATTCGTTGGCGTTGAGGGGGCAATTTATCCTCGGATAGTGGGTGGTATTTGCGGAGGTAGATACCCTCTGGATAGTGGATATCAATTGGTTCTATGATGTTGGGGTGTGGTTGTTTTTGGAGGAGTTGTAGGACAGTTCGCTCGTTTTGTAATTGGTTATTTTGGGAGAGGGTGTTTGAGGCGTAGTGTCGGTGGGCGCGCTCAGAGGCATTGTTTTCAGGTGGTACATATAATAAGGGTGATTTGAGAACCACGTGATCATTCACTTTGTAGGCCTGAGAAGACGATCCATCCTCTATGACTTCCAAGTCGTGTTGAGGGTGCAATTGTAGAGTGTACGTGTCGCACTGCGATGTTGAGGTATCATCACCAGCCGGATGGCTAGCCGCCTCAAGATCATCAGGTTTTCCGGATTGGGGCGGGTGATAACTGATAGATAGCGGAAATATATGAGATAAGAAGCCGAATGCGCGATAACCAAGATAGCCGAAGTAGCGCAGTGCAGTCAATGCTGGCGAAAAAAATCGCCAGAGATATGACAGCATCTTGCAAGAGTCATTGAGGAAGAATAATCTGGAAGATATTTTTTATTGCACTGATCTTGAAGCACTCAACGATGAGAGGAGGGTTTTTGAATGAGTATATTCGTTCAAGACATCTTGGCGTGAAATGATGGATACAAGAGCCAGCGCATCAGGGGAATGGCGATACCCAACCAGTGCAAGTCACGTGCAAGATGTATGCTAGTCGGTTATTTTTGCTTCTTGGGTCTGTTCGACATCCGAGAAATTTATGATGATAGACCCATGTTTTATTTGTCGAATTAGCGTATCTTAGGCTTCATCCTAGGGTGATGTTGAGTAGTGTAAACAGAGTGAGCTGTAGAGACTGTCAAATGAGTAGGGTCCTTTCATGAAGCGATAAAGAGCACATCGCACATACTTTCGTATCTAAGGCAGCATTACTCATAAATCAGGCTTAAGACTGAATCATCTGGGGTATAAGGAGTGACAATTTTTGTTTTCGAACCAAGACATATGATCTGATCATACAACTAACCAATCCCAAATAAAGCAAGATACAATGTATCAGCAACACATGCAATCAATAGATCATACCAAACATGAGGACATCAACATATATGGGTTTGTAATATTTGTCATGCGAAAACAACCAAACTCCTGCTCCAATGCGCCGGCCAAGGGGTATGGGATATGACTGTCAGCGCCGTGCGGTTATTCCCGCTCCACCTCATGAGAAAAGACATGGCATGTCATCGCTCCGCCCTGCGGATACGAGACAGCCGGGTATATCGTAGCGAAAGAATAAAACGGAGAGCCAAAAGTTCTGGTCCGAACCAATAGTGTCTATAGGGGCTGGACTTTTGCCGGAAAAGTGAGAAAACAGAATTGCAAGCAGGCAGAAGGGCCTCCTCAGGAAGGAAGCCCGGGACGATATCCAGTCGCGTTGCCTGATCGAATCGTTCGTGCTTGTCACCCTGGCAGGACCAAATCCGCGAATCTCCAGGTTGGTTATGCAATATCCAAGCCAGCTTGTATGATCGGTCCCTTCAAGGGATATTAACAGATGCGCATAAAATGCAATCAAGGAAAAAGAATTGTTGAAATTAGAGAAGAAGGTAGTCCCAGCCATTCTGTTGCATGATCTCGCGCCAGTGTAGGAATGGCTTTCTCATTTCCTTCGCTCCCCATGGCACGAGGCTCTCCTTGGGAGACTCAGAGCCCTCAGCCTTCACAGGCGCGTCGGAGGATGAGGAGGCGGACGAGGACCGTCGCTCTTCTGGGGCAGAAGCAGATTCGACAGGTTCGACGGTCTCGACCGGCTCGATCGGTTCGATGGACTCATCAGACACACGCCATACCTCCTTCAGGACGCGGTACATACGGCCAAAGCTACCGAGTTCGGCATGCTCGCCAAGAGCAGCAGCTCGATCGGCGAGGACGGTGCGGAAGTGGCTATCGGGTGCTGAGTATGCTCCGGCGATCAGAATCGGCCAAACGAGCGAGCGATCGAAGCCTTCAGGTCCAGAAGGAATGACATAGAGAACATTGGCGACGGCAGCGACCAGATTGACGGTGCTCGGTTGGTTTCGGTCAAACCCGGGAACTAGACTGCACAAGTAGATCCTTGCGGCGAGGCGGAAAGCGGCCGTGATGTTCTTGGTGAGGATCTCGGGAGAAAAGGCTCCGTTCGGTAGGAATGGGCTTTCGAGCGTCTGATTCACGGGTTCGGTGAACTCTAGTTGCTGTCCCAGAGCTGAAACATGCGAACACACGCCCATCTCATCGATTCTGCCGTCTCTCTTGAGTGCGTCCAGACAGGTGATCTCCGAAATCAGGTACATGACACGGTCGTCGCAGCCCATGAGCTCGCGGAGCCCCAGAGACGAGCCACTGAGGTGCTTGGCACGGTAGGTGTGTGCGAATTCCGGAGTCTTGCCGTGCATGGTCGATCCTAGAATGTCAATCCACGATGCCAGAGTCATGGTGAAGGGGGGTAGCATGTACGGGTTCCCGCAGGCGGGAACTGCCGTCGGAAGCCCAAGCCGATGCACAAGATTGGAGGCAGCCTGGAAGTGCTCGAACCACGGAATGTCCGGTAGGTAATCATCCGCCGGGCCCACGGAGCAGTGGAAGAAGATCATGGCTAGCGTCGCATCCAGGATCTCCTCGTGGTTGGTGTCTTCGCCCAATGCCAGGCACAATTGCGAAACAGCCTCGAAGCGATTGCGCATGATGTCGTGGTCGATCTGTTCCCCAACGAGTCCTTCCGTAGTCTTGAGGTGGATGGCAGCAACACTCAGACAGCAGTGGAGGTAGCACTTGTTCGTCTCCAAAGCTTGCAGGATGGCTTGGGCTCGGAGGTGTCCACGCTGGTGTGCCTCCAAGACGGGAAAGATGATGCGCAAGACATTGTGAATGAAGTGGTCGAGAAGTGGCCGGTCATGGTCGCTAACGGGGATATTGGACTGAAGCATGGCGTACGTCTGGCCGATACTCTGTTCACACAGCGCCGGGTCGATTCCAGGCAGGGCAGGCACTTGAGCGAAGTACTCGTCGTGGAACCAGTCTTCACTGGGGAAAGTCGGAAGCGGGGCATTCAACTGCGGCGGCGCAAAGGTGCTAAAGGTTGAGCTGCAAGAGTCGTGGCGCAAGGGGACATCATTGACAAACGTATGTCTTTCGGTCTTCACATCGATCTCATAGGGGTGGGTCGGGGCATAGATGGGTTGGTTCATGGCCGGGGTGGGAAGGTGTGAAGCGAAGATATCGTACTGCTCTGGAAAGGCAGGGCGACCGAATTCGTATTCCGGAGAAGTTGGGGAAGGTACAGCCATGCTGCGAGTACGAGCGGCGGAATCTGAGTGCAGCACGATAGCCTGTCAGAGGGGAAACGATCATGTCCCAATAGCAAATACATACCTGTCAGAGCCCCATTGCGCTCATGCATCTTGGTCTGCTTGATCTTGTTCTTGATGCGTTCCTTCTGGATCCTCCGTTGCTCTGCGTTTCCCCACCAGATAGGGCGTTTGTATTCGCATTTCACACACAGATTTACACAGGCTCCGCAGGAGGGATGCTTCTCATCACACTTCTTTCGGCGCAGGCGGCATGTGAAGCAACCTATTTCAGGGGACAAGTGTTGGTTAGATCCACTAAGGGTCAAGTAACTGTCAACGATATAACATACCAGAGCGAGATCGCTTGTGTAACTTGAGCTGGTTCTTGTCTGAAGACCCCGTGGAGGTACCCTCACTGGCTGACGGCGACTGCGAACACTCTTCGGACTTGACTGGCGAGATCCGGACGGGAGTCGACCTCTTCTTTGCTGCGGCAGGCATTTTGAAGTCGAGATATGATATCGTACTAAGCAGAGATATAAAAACACCGATAGATATGCAGGATAAAGTCGTCGTAAGAGACAGGACACAGTCGTCTGGCGAGCTGATAAATGGGTATCAGGAGTATTAAGGAGGGGGCAAAGCTGAACCGGCAGCCTTTGCTATCTAATTAAGTAGAAGAAGAGAACGAAAGGCGCGGTGGCGGAGGATGAGGCGAAAGGGAGATAACAACGCTTGGTGACAGTGATTCCAGATTCGAGCATGACAGCGGGGATCGAAGAAGCTTTAAAACGTGGGTTGAGCTCTGACAGACAGGCCATGATGTTTCTATTTTAGATCCTGGCCGACAGCCGAGTGCAGGTCGAACAGGATCGGGGAAATTGTGGTGGTGGGAAAGCCGGCGAGGGATTGGCGGCGGGGGGAGGGAAAGAGAGCAATCCCTGAGAGCAAGTGGAGATCCCTTCATGCACGGACAAGGAACTGCTAGTCAGCCTGGGCTAATTTTGGAGATTTGCGAGCGCATTTTACACTTTTTGTTCTCGCGCTCTTCAACCTGGCGCGTATGCAGCCTATCCGTGCCACTGATTGGATGCGGCCGGGAGAGAGCACTGTGCGGCTGGGGAATTGATTGGCATGGAAGCTGTCGCAATTGCCTGCCCAAAGACCAATCTCGCACGGGGCAGATCGGTGGACGGGCTGAGGTTCATTGGCCTTCTCTGTTTCTTTTTTTGGTGGTCTCTCTATCGCGATATCTGCCTCTAGAGGGATCATCTGTACTACCATCGTCCAGTCAATCCTGGTGACCCAAGGATTCGAGTACCACTTCGGAGTGCTGCACTCGGGTGCTACAGTGTTTCTGCAATGCTGCAGAAAGGCCTCACTCGTGGCTACAGAGACAATGGTAACTGAGTAAGTGGTACCCGTCGCGCAATCTGGGAGGTGGGAATGATAACCAAGTAACCCCGTCGGCCAATCGCAGGCCTTAGGCACGCAAGCAATGCATGATGGATGTACTCGGTCATGGTACTACTTCGTAGTGGGAGTGACTTTCACCCGATCTGGAAAATGCATAATCAGTATCCACCTTCTTAGTAGGTACGCTGATGGAGGAGACAGAGGAGGTGGTGGATGACTACATAGAGGAGGGGAGTACAACCGTTGAGGAGAGTGGGGGGAGGAGAGCAAAATGCCAGGCACATTGCCAACCCAACCGGCTAATGCGGACTGGCAGGAGGTGCTCGAGGGAAGTGGGATTCCAACCCTGTCTGGTGAACAAGGGTCTTGTGCCATCGGTGCCAATCAGTGTGCCGGGCGGCAAGTGGGTGGTGGTGAGCTCGTCGAGAGTCAAATGCGATGCGGGGGATTCAGTCGCAAGTGGCAGTCCAGCACCTACAGTAGTAAACAGTAGCTAATTTAGTGCGGATGAGCCAAGCTTCCCTTACTGGCTGGGGATTGGCCGCCCCCGACATGGTTGCTTGCAGAGCGGGAAACCCGCAGCCAACCGGGCTGCAGTGGGTCGGGCCTGAAGTGCCCCGTGCAACCAGTGCCAACCAGTGGTATCCCTCTGCCAAGATGTGACCAGATGCCGCTAACCTCGCGATTCAGGCCAAGACCCTACTTGACTGGATGTGGTTGGCTGTCTGTATTGGGTTCTTGTTATTATTGTTCATTTTAACCGCCCAGGAGAAGCAATCCCCTCAACTTCCAGCGCTAAATGAAAGACTATTCTTATCGTCCACTCTGTCTGTCGGATTATCCACAACCAGCTCGGCCATAATTAGCTTGTGGTCGGAATAATTAGGCAAGGCCATGACTCGGTCCTGGACCGTCCCATGATCCATGGTCCGCACGAAGATCTGACAGCGGGACTAAGAGTGGAGAGCAATCATCAACTGGGCACTAAGAATTTAACTTTGGCTGCCTCTGCAACCAACGCTTCCCAGTCACACTTCTTGTCACATTCGGCAACGAACGTGCGCTGTCGCTAGAATTTTGCGCCCATTGTGTCGTATCAGTCAAAAACATCGTTCACCTAATACTCAGTATACGTGAAGATCCGTCTCTCGGCAAAATGAATATCTCTACCATGCTAGCCAGGACAGCTTCATTCTCTCCTTCTTGAGAAGTTAATTTGATGCACACCTCCATCTGACAGACTCGATCAGCACAGACCGAGTGGGCAGATGTCGGAAGCGAGTTACGGCCACCGACTCCCGTGCTAGCTTGGTTATCACGATGCGCGCCTGCCATTTCTTATCACATTCCTGCAGCTGCAGGCTAGCGTTTAGCGTCCCTTTTTCCCGGTCATCAAAGTCTCCCGCAACAAATCAAAGCTCCCAGTCGTATAATCACTTGGCGCCGGCTTTTACGAGCGGCACGCCAATGAAGGACGTGCCACCCCCGTTGCAATCCCTCAAGTCGACTCGATGCTAGTAGTGCTTGTACCCCTCTATCCTAAATCTATGAGATCATCGCCATACCTTTACTAACATCCAAATTTATGCATCTCCCCTGTTCACTAGCCACGTTGACGCTAGGAGTGTACTTTCCGCTGCTCGCCAATTTACGTGCGCAATTTACTGCATCGCAAGCGCAGGAACTTGCGAACAGCGCCAATTCTCTGGCTGGTGTGCTTCCCCGATGCAGATCACTGCATGGTCCCAAAGCCAACCCAACCCCGGCAAGTCAGGTGCTTGCAGCGTGCCTGGCATGCAGTCTGTGCAGTTATCACACCGAGTCACCTGGGCTACGTCTCTCTCTTTCTCAGTTGGGTTAGTATGTCCACTCACCGCGCTTTTCGTGTCGTCGGCAAATTATGGTCATTTCATCGAATATCTCCGAGAAGCAGTTATACACCGTTAACAATCCACTCTGTGCGATGGAGTTAGTTGTGCCCTCCAAGTGGGGTTCCACGACTGTTACTATGCTTGCTTTTCTCAAAATTTGGCGTGACGCCAAACTACCTGGATTCGTAGAGTTTCCTGTTTGGGAAATTTAGTCTGCTCCTCATTGCCGCTGCTGAATTTGTTGGGTGGTGGCGTCAATCTTTGCATTGCTTCGGTTCTACCTTGGCGATGGATCTCGCTAACTACCAGAGACCTGGCTCTATTGATCCGTGCGAGGCAAATAAAGCGCAAACATGATTGTCTGGTGTTCTTGCTTGACAGACGCTTACCTTGATTTGCAGTGGTTAAACTATACACTGCAAATCGAGCATAGACTTGAATAACCTATGGCCCACGCTGTCCAAAAGAAGATTTTCTGGTTTTTGGGTCCAGACCCCAGATGAGAATAGATTTACAATTAGCCACATGTAAGGTAGAGTACTCTCAACAGCCATGTGCTCCCATCTCACAAGACCCCCACAGTCCCTTGCAGTTCTATACAATTGATACTATTTCTGGCAACGAAGCATGACACTGCGGATGAACTTAGCCGGGGTTCCATATTCACAATCAACATAAATATAGATAAACCAACAAAAAAGCAACCAATCATCCAGCAAACCAAATCCCCAAAAGTAGACTCGGCGGTTAAGCACAATCTAGTGGATCAACAAGCTAAAATCAAAGAAAAGAAAAGAAAAGAACACCTCCATTACAGTTCTACCGTCCAGCGGCCCGGATCCGATCCAGATCTCCCATCTATCCATCCAACCCTAGATAGTAGCATGAACGAAAGTATCTAGTAAACTCCCAAAATAGAAACCCAGTCATCTTCCGATCATATTATCTGCTAGTATCAGATCACACCCACCCACTCAAATCAGATGTACATAGTAGCCGCCGCCATGTCCCCATCGACCCTCCCCGGCGTCTAAATGAGGGGTAAGGCATGGCATGGCATGGCATGGCAATCTAAGAATAGCTTTCCTTCCTTCACTCCAGACTAAACATCTAAAGACGCATGCATGAGATCATACTATACACTACCGGATAAGCATCCTCGGGATAAACCTTCATCAATTAATAGTTCATGTCTTAATTTCGTTTCCAGAAATAGCCTGCATATCTTGATGCCGCTATTGCTTCAGCCTCGCTTGCCGAACATCCTTTTCATCGGATCTACACGTTTGACGCTCTGCATGTAGCCGCCAGGATAATCTATTGGTATTGGATGTGTCGATGTGTCCGTTAAGGCTGGACTTGCTACGGGAAATGTAGCATATAGATTCAGTGGGCAGATTGTGGCGGGATTGAATGGATGTTAGGCGCTGGGGGGATCCGGCTGGATGGGTCGTTGTCTTTGTTTGAGGGCTTTTTGCTAAGAATATATAACTGTTGTGAGTTGGTAGTGATGGGGAGTTAGGCTGTAGGATGTGTCATGTAGAGAGGGAGATGTTTTATCTTGGGAGAGTGAGGTGGCCACGATTGGCCATGATTTCGTTGTAGAGATTCTACGGTTGCTGTTCCGCCCGTTGGATGTTAGGGCGTTCGTGTGCCTAGGAGCTGTGGTTGATGCTATTATTAACTTAGAACTGGGTTGGGGATATGATATGCAGATTGAGTCTGGAGGTTAGCTAGAAGCTTGGAGTTGGCTTTTCATTCTGGGTAGGGTTGGCTCTGGCTCTCTCAGATTTCGGCGGTTATTTGATGCTTGAGCAGGTGATGCATATACCATGAGATGGTTGCTAAATTTATCGCTATTGTCAACATGTATAATTTTTATACTACTCAGGAGTGTATACTGCTCAATCACATTATCAACGTGACTACTAGTTACAAAGTGAATGTTAATGTCATCAATCCAAAGTTCATGGGGAGTTCTACTACTACCCGATACAATACGTTAGGGTAAGTATATATTTCGGACCCGGTTCGGTGCTGCACTGATAAGATGATGTCACCACAACAAATGATAACTTATAACTTTCTCTTCAAGCTCAAAACGAGCTCACTGTAATGTCTATCTCTCATTCAGTTCATAATTATAATCATCTTCACTCATTCACACGGTCCTGCAGCCGCATGCTGTGCCTCCGGAATTGCCCACCGCTCATTGGCCAGCGCGGAGACCGATGCTTACCTATCGCATGCAGCTAAGGGCACCGACGACTGCGCAAAAATGCTGGCCTTTGTTTTCGCAGTCCTCCAGCCATCTGGGCGGAATTTCCTCCTTCTTCATATCCTGTCGCATACCATGCGAAACAGACTGTCATGTTTCGTCTCCCGATAGTGCGCGCGTTCTTCCGCGCATCGCCCCAGCCGGTCACGGCTACCTCGCTCCTCCACCCTACCCGCATCCCCTCTCACATTCCTCGCTCCACACCTCTGATCCGACATCTGTCGTCAAGAACTCGTGGGATCTCTTCAACGGCCTTTCTGCCTTCGAGACTCCTTTCTCGTCAATCACAGTCCCAGCTTTTCTCCGCGTCCGCCCGCAGCCGTGCGAAGTATAATCGATTCGAAGAACCGCAGTTCCCCAGACTCCAGGATGGCGAGCATTTGCAGCTCTGGCTTGTACTCATTGCCGTCGGAGGAACCTTCTATGTCTATAATCTGGAGACTGTGGAGGTGTGTTGCTCATACTCCATAGCCATATTCCATATGCAAAGCTGATGTTCTTCGTCCTTAGCTGACGGGCCGCACTCGATTCAACTGCGTATCCGACGACCTCGAGAAACAGATGGGAGACCACGAATACCATGCAATCATGAACAGAGCTGAAGGCTTGATTCTACCTCCGTGGCATCATATCTCCGAAGAAGTGACCCGAGTCTTCGAGCGGCTGATCGCTCATACACCCGTACAAGACACGAAATGGGAGGTGCACGTTATCAACGATATGTCGGAGCAGAACGCATTTGTCCTTCCGAAGTAAGGCATTCGACTACCTTTGGAAATCATACACTGCAATCTTGGGATTGTTTGGCTGATGGGTATATCCTACAGTGGAAAGGTATTCGTGTATACTGGCATATTGCCGGTTTGCGGAAATGCTGATGGTCTTGCGGCGGTATTGGGCCATGAAATCGCTCATGTGCTGGCCCATCACCAGGCTGAACGGATGAGCCATTCTGTTCCTAGTGTCATTCTGACCTATGGGCTGGTATATCTGTTTGGCAGTCTCGGACATTTCGCGTCCCAGATGTTGAATTGGACTGTCAATTTGCCGAACACGCGAGTGCAGGAGGTATGTGACTCACGGCGTATGGCTAGAAAACCATCAACTGACATGTATGCAAGGCTGAGGCAGACAACATCGGGCTGAGTATGACATGCTTGTCATCCATTCGTAATGTCCTACTAATCCTTGATAGTGCTGATGGCCAAGGCTTGTTACAACCCTCGTGCCGTAGTTGACTTGTAAGTAAACACTCTCTCGATCTCCATATATCCTTGTTCTTTAAGCTTAAAAGTCTCAGCTGGGACCACATGCACAAGAGTGAAAGAGTTCGTGTGCCTGAGTTCATGTCAACACATCCATCGGTGAGATAGTCCAATAACCCAACCCACTGGTCGATGTAACTAACGACGTCAAAGCATTTCAACCGCATGCAATCAATGAGCGAAAGGTAATATACCAGACTATCTAACCCACTATTCAACCAAGCTAACAAAATCACAGGCTATACAAAGCCGAATCCCTGTACGAAAACAGCGGATGCCATATGGTCAGAGGCTACAGTGAGCACCCAGCCAACACCCACCGAACTGCAGCTACAACATACTAACAACATCCCCAATTCAGTCCCTGAATTCACCGACGCAATCGACCACTACGCAGGTCCCCAGGAGAGAGCCCCCCCTACCAGAAGCCATCACCCGAGAGGTGGTCACCATGGCAGAGGCCACCATAAACAAATCCAGCCTGATGATAGCTCTGACGGCGAATACTTCTTCTGAAATTCCCTCGGGGTGAACTAACTGTAATACTATGATGAATTCCTGTCCTTGGATCCTTTCATCCTGATACTGTCGATCGGATCCGCACAAGGCATAGCGTAATATGAGCGATTTAGCATGTATCTATATACCTGTCTCGCGGTGATTTCTCTCGGGATACTCCACTCTGCTTGCATCAAATTTCTATGGGAAGTCCTTAACTTCGAGTCATGCCTTGTATGGAATTAATAGCTCCTAAACGGACTAACGAGATCCTGATACCTCATCCCTGTAAGACGGTCAATCGGAGCCACAGCGCCGTCTACGCTTGATCGGCGAGTCGGGTGTAATGAACCACCGACGCTAAACCAGGCCTACTGTATATAGATCCTCATGCACCTACCTACCTATAGACCAGCCATACGATACTCTACTTTCTCTATCATCTACATGTCTACTCATTTATATCTACATCTACATCTACATCTACAATAAACTCACCTGAAACCCCCCAAACCATGTCCAACCGCGTCCTAATCGCCGGCGGCGGCCTGGGCGGCCTCGCCCTAGCCCAAGGCCTCCGCAAGCACAACATCCCATTTACGGTCTTCGAACGAGATGCCAAGCAAGACTTCCGCGCCCAAGGCTACAGACTACGCGTCATGCAAGAGAATCTCTACACCCTCCTCGTCCCCGAAATATGGTCCCTATTCGAGAGAACCGCTGCCCTGGACGACGGTCTCCCAGGCGTAGGTGTCCGACTCGACGCACTGAACGGGGAGCCCCTCCCCGCTGGTAGCGGTGGACCACCGCTCGGGATCCACGGAGCCAGACCGTACACTGTGGATCGGGGGACGATGCGCGAGGTCCTTCTGCAGGGTCTCGGGGAGGAGAATGTGCAGTTCGGGAAGCGGTTCGAGCGGTATGAAGTGAGGGATGAATGTGTAGTTGCGCATTTTGCGGATGGGAGTTCCGCGACGGGAGGGTTGCTCGTTGGTGCGGATGGAGCGAGGTCGCGAGTTAGAAGGCAGTTGGTGCCGTGGTATCCGTTTGTGGATACGGGGATGAGGATGATTTATGGGAAGACGGGGATCACGGGGGATGTGGAGGGGAGGTTGAATGAGTTGGCGAGGAGGGGGATGTCGTTGGCGAAGGATTTGAGGGAGGAGGCGCCGAAGACGTTGTTGTTTGAGCCGATGAGGATGCCGCAGGGTGATGTTGGAGGGATTAAGTTGCCGGAGGATTATTTGTATTGGGTGTTGCTGGTTCATCGGGATTTTGTGGGTATGGAGGATGAGAAGGTTCTTAGGTTGAATGGGGAGGAGTCGGCGAGGTTGTCGATGGAGTTGTCGAGGGAGTGGCATCCGTCCGTGAGGGTTTTGCTGGAGGAGCAGGATGTTGAGCAGACTTCAACGCTGAGGATGGCGTCTGTGAGGCCGGATTTGCCGGCTTGGGAGACGGATTCGAGGGTCACGCTGCTTGGGGATGCGGTTCATGTTATGCCGCCGACGGGTGGGCAGGGGGTGAATACGGCGTTGAGGGATGCGGTGGTGCTGGTTGAGAGGTTTGTCGAGGCGAAGGAGGTGGGTGGAGGGGATGTTGTTGCGAGGTATGAGGAGGAGATGAGGCAGTACGCGCGGGAAAGAGTCGGGTTGAGTTGGCAGGGCGGGTATAAGGCGTTTAATCTGAGGCCGTTGGAGGATTGTGAGAGGGTTGAGTTGTCTTAAATTGGATTCTGCTTGAAATGATGTTATTGATGATCTTGTTGGAGTTGCGCGGAGGATAAACGATGCCGCAAGGTGAGGATGGAAATAACATGAGATTGCGTGCGTGGTACTTGTTTGGCCAAGAAACACTGTGGGGCCTTGACCGCTGTAAAGCCTTATTGAAGTTAGACTCCGCTAACCAATGAATTTTGGTAGCGCCTACTCTGTAGTAGTATAGTATAACTATTATGCATGCCCAGTACCAGGAGAGAAATATGTAGTGAACCTACAAGGAATACTTCTTATCTATAATTCTCCCTTTCTACTGTCTCTGTACTGAGCCGTGGAAGGTTTTCTACCATATTTTCTCCTTTCTCCTCTGTCGGGTTTTCCTTTATAAATTTCTACAACTGGTATTGGAGGAGCCTCCTAGCTGTACCTATAACGATATACTATAATATGTTTCTTGTTTTCACATACAGGGCTAACATCTGTCTTTGGCAAGCAAGTAGAGATCAACATACGAGTTGCTGATCAGCTGAAAGCTCAGGAATACATATTAGTATAGACTTAGCATCGCCGGAAGGAGGCTAAAACAGAGAATGAAAAGAATTATCTCACACAAACCCATGGAGGTCCATCCCCGACTTGCAATTGGTTTGCCAATACTGAGGTTAGATCGAGCTACTGGGTTGCTTGATTCTTAGTGAATTGTGACGTACTATAACACCTGAAAACTTTGACTACATGTCGAAGTGAATGAACGTGTTACTTACACCTTTGTCTCTCCCATCCCATATCTAACATCAGTCCTCGTTCTTCCCTACTCTACTCTCTTCTATCTCCCACACTCGTGAGGTTATTGGTCTGGAACTGCGTCTCCCAATCTCTCTCAAACTATCGCATGCAACTTGTAAACACGGGATATTTACTTTCGAGTTCCTTGCTTACCGTCCTTATCCTCTGTTGTTCGTCCTCGACTCGACGCCTCTTTTCGTCCATTTCTCGGTTTCGTTGTCTTTCTTGAGAAAACAAATCTCGTCATGAGTCAATCAAGCACTCTACGGCCGTATGTGACCAGGCAACAGCGTCGTGAACACAGCCTTCATACTCTCAGTGCTTTGGCGACCAACCTCCAAACGGCCGTGAACAATACTATCGCTGCCGGAAGCAAATATGAATCAGTTGAGGTGCTTGCCTTCCACTGGGCGAACGACACGATGGGTGTAGCTGTCTTGGAGGCCGAGCTTTTACAGTATCTGACTCAAGTATATGCGTACAACTGCGAGTCTTATGAGATCCCCCTCCAGGCTTCTTCCGCTCTATTAATGAACAAGCTCTCCATATGGTCTATCGCCCGGCGTGACAAGAATATCTTAAGAATATACATCTACTCGGGTCATGCCGGCCGCATGACCCCGGAAGACCTGTCGTGGACGATTGCGTAAGTCTAGTCTCCCTACCAACGATACGCGAAGATTCTAACAGTGGTTGTATAGCGGCCAGTCCAACGCTAATGGAGTCATTACTGGACCCAGCCTAAACATAAAGTCAGCACTTTACGCGTGCGAGAACTTGGAGGGAGACAGCCTCTACATTTTCGATTGCTGTTCTGCTGGCTCAGTCGCGCTGTGGGATGGGCCGGAAGCCATCGCAGCTTGCGGCTGGGGCCAGACCAGCTCCTCAAACGTGAACTTTTGTCTCACCCGAGTCCTATTGGACACGCTCATCGACAATAATGGTGCCCCTATCACGGTGGCCTCCCTCTTTTCCCGGCTCTATCGTAATGCGTCACAGAACCAGGTGGGAGCATGTCCTGTTCACATACCGAGACGTGACCATCCAAGCATAACTTTGAAGCCCTTGACTCGTGTTTTCCGCCCAAGCTCCCACTCTCGCTGTTCCGAGCGCATCCTTCTCTCGATAGAGGTCAATGATACCGCAAATGAGCGCGATGTCAAGGCCTGGGAGGCCTGGCTGCTCAGAGGAATCCCCGATGACGTGCTGAGCATTAATATTAAAGTGGAAGGATCTTTCCACAGCCACTCGACCGTCGTTTTGTTAACTGTGCCAATAGAAGTGTGGACCATGCTCACTGATCATCCGGGATACAAGTTTATTTCCCTCGTTACCTCCAATAATGGGCTTTTGAAGGAGGAGCTACCCTATCGTCCTGCTTAATCCCGAGGCGAGAATGAGCCTCTATCTCCAAGAAAGCCAGTCAGGTGAGGGATTGGGCCGGTACAGCCATAAGGACTTGGAGAGCCTGCTACGTCTCTCGTCATACTATTAACATCTGTTCGCTTCGGCACCCTCGGGACGTAGATGTCCTTTTTACCGTGTTGCTTACTTAGTTATGAGCTAATAGAAATTACATTGATAATCAGATAGGCTCTGCAAGCTCTTCGCGTATTCTCATGACTTCGAAATGTATTTGCCGTCGTACCTGTAAAAGATTTGGGCATTTGTTTTGTGCTGCAATTCTTATGCCCTAGTGCTATACTGGAATGATAGGAGTGGCCTTTAGGCGCGGAATAAAGCATGGCTGCTGGGACGGTCAGTTCCCGTTAATGTGAGGTCTTCGACCGTATTAGGAAAAGTAGAGATAAAAGGCCTTGGTCGAAAGATGGCAACCAGTGTTTTTGGGGGGTTTCAATCGATATTTTCTTTGAAGATATATACACGTATCACATTAGGGAGTTGTCTTAGAAGCCCGACAAGAAATATACCAACTAAAGCTTTCTGGCGAAATCCCCGATACACGCTACAGTGTCGAAGGGTTTCCCGATAATCAAGGCCTGACCTTACCCACAGCGTCGAAGGAAGGATACAACCTTGACGAAGATGTCTCATTGATGGACGCATTAATTTTCTGAATCTCCTCAAAGCATAATGTTATCGAATGCTGTTGGAGTTGCGGATAGTGAGAAGTCGGCTTGTGAGTGTTTGTTATCCTGCGAGTGAAAATGTTGGAGAGAAGTGCGCATGGTTTCAGGCTAAGATACTGTGGCCTTTATTAAAGTATTTAATAAAAAAAATACTTTTTATAATATTCTTAAGGTTAGTTTTAATAGACAGTCCAGAAGCCTGAGCTACACCCAATACAGATCAGCGCTTAAGGGTCTCTTACTTCTGTTGAGGACATCTTAGGTATCTTCCCATCTGCTTCCAATAGCCAGCGATATATCGCTCAGTTTAAGAGAGATTCAGATGCTACTTCGAGTGCCGTCAATCCACATAATTCTGATTTCATTCAAGTACATGAACTACAGCTTGAGGCTTCGTGAACGCTAGACCTCCGAATTCATTAGTTCATATTGTGACGCCAAGCTTAGCTATTGAATAGGTCATGACTAGTGAATAGCGACGTTCTTTCACCTTGGAAAATTATTGAATGTCTTGATGATAGGGAATATACTACTTCACCATGCCATTGATGGTCCTTATATATCTGTCTCTATCTCTTCCCTTCGACTTAGACCTTTCCATCTTCCCTACAATCACCTATTTCCCTTATAATAAGAGTGTTTCTGTCTCAGACGTATCTCTACGTTGCTCTCAGTAGCCACGACATATTGGCCACTTAGTAGAGCATTGGCAGACTCTTATATTTCTTTTATTATACCTCGAACTCCGGGTGTTGAACGACTAGACTCAAACCTGATTGAGCTACGAAAGTCTAAGAGAAACGACCAAGCATTGCCTAGGCGATGAAGGGTTTGTTCTGTCAGGAGGGCGTCTCATTGATGAAGGCCTTAACGACGCCGAAGCCTTACGGGAGAGAATGTACACCCACCATGTGCGAAACCGGGCCCGTACAATCGTGGAACGGACACCGTGTGAAAAACCTAGCGATGAACCTTCAGACAGCCGTCAACAATCCGCTTGCCTCCGATGGTGATTACGAATAATACTGAGATTCTTGCAATACTCTAGAAAATAGATGGAGACAGTATTGCAGGCTCAAAGACAGAGCTGCTAGACTTCCTCAATTGAATCTACGGGTATAATTGCCAAGAACTCGTTATACCCTCGCAAACACGGGGAGGGGATCACAATAAGAAGGTTGAACACTGATCGCTTGCCCTGCATCGCTTTATGCCCGTATCTATCGGAATGCGTTCAAAAGTCAAATCCCAGTATACTTGATGCATTCTCCTTGACGCGATCATCCAAGCATAACATTGAAGCCATTGAAGGGCGGTATTTCACTCCCAAGCCCTCTTACCTCCGAACGCGTTCTTCTGAAGGACAATATCAATGAACGGGGGTCAACGCCTGGGAGGCCTGGCTACTTGGGAGCATCCCTGATGACGTGCTGAGAGTGGACATACGAGCTGAAGGGGCACTCCACAACCACTCTACAGTTCTGTTGATAACAGTCCCCATTGAAGTGTGGACCATAATTCCGGATCTTACAGAGTACAATTCTGTATCGCATGTGACGTCTAACAACGAATTTACCGCGGTCAGAGCACTATCTTATACACAAAGAACGGATATCGACGTTGACTACTTGATTGACGGCCATTTGGTATATGATGTATACTACAGTCTATTCTTATTGAACTAGCTTCAGATAGGTTGGATATTCGGGTCAACTTGCTGGTTATAGCATAGTTTCCTTTTCTTTGAAAAAATGAGATATACACTGTTACTATCAATTCTAAATCCACTTCCTGGGCTGTTGCTGTAGTATTATTGTATCAAGATGATCCTCTCAGCTACTTCTGAACGTATTCGTAGATTTGTAATCAATGCTACCATACGGCATACTATCGAGACTGCTATATGAGTTAAAGAGGAACTGCGAAAGTAAACGTCGTGCATCTTCTCATCAAACACAGCAAAGACCCTGCGCTGCTCCAGAACTTCGCAGTTCAAGATCCACACCATCTTTCCCTGGGAGCAATCTATAGCAACCACTCCCTCCATGACATGTTTGGTAGCTACTCGACCTTAAAAAATATGGACTCCACAACCAAGACCAAGGATGAAACGTCAGATAAGGAATTAACCGACTTCATCTCCAAGATCCACGCCAGTCCCGCGATGCTCGATCAGCCAGAAGCGGTAGTGTTCATCATTCGAAAGATAGGCACCTCACTCATGCCCATGGATCTCAAACGCGGCGTTGTACCGGATTTGGCGAAATTATCGCTCTTTCCCATTGATTCCCTAGTTGCAATTGAGCTCCGAGCCTGGGCACGCAATCGACTGAATGTCGAGGTGAAACTTATCGAGATATCATCAATAGAGACAGTGAAGGGCTTTTCGCAGTTGATTATCGATCATGTGAAGGAGAAACTTAGGGTGCTAGCGGAGTAAACCTGAACTAGCGGATACAGCATGGCATGTCTTTCAACACCGAAAAGAGACAGTGTACGTAGTATAGTCTCGTCTATTCTAATTTAGACGCCACCATTTCAGACTAGCATTCTTTTCAAAAATCCCACATTAAACATTACATTCCTTGTCAAAGCTGTCAAAAGGGTTGCATTTCTCCCATGCAAGCCAAGCTAAGCTACCCATCAATTCCCAGAAGTGTCCCCATTCGCCGCATCCACCGTACGAAAAGCCGCAGAATAATAATCATCAATATCACCTGCTGCATCTTTAAACGGCTCTCGATGAGGCTCCGTCACCTTCGATGCCATATTATCCACAGTGGCCGCATTCTTATCATGAACGTATTGAAGGAGCTTGCGAGCCACGGGCAATGCATTCATGTTACGAAAGTGAGGGACCTAAAACAACATCAATCTCACAATGTAAGTCTCGTCACAATCCAGGTTTCTGTGTTTCAGATATATATATATACATAAATGAATAGAAGAAAAGGTGAAAGGTAGTAGACTATTGTACGCACTTTAGTAGCAAACCGATTAACAAGATCCGAAGCAGCGGTTCGGAACTCTACTGTTCCATTGTATAGGGTAGCGCTATCCTCGTCGTCGAATGTCGGGGTGTTCTGTGTATGCGTTTCTAGGTTGTTGGTGAGCTGGTACATCTCATATGCTGTTTGAAGTAGAGGAAATCCCTTCGAGATGCTACCGTCGAAGTTGCTGAGGCGGTTGTTGGCGTTCTGAACCCAGTTTAGAAGATTTTTGTGGTCGGATTGGATGGTGGTGGCATGGGGGCTTGCTTGGGTGGGTGTGAGGATGCATAATAGTAGGGTGAGTAGGGGGAATAAGTTGAGTGGGAGGTGCATTTTGGATTCTAATGATTGAGATTGAGATTGAAGTTGAAAGGCGCAATGGGGTGTTGAGATATGCTGGGTACAGAGTATAAGGGGAGGGGGGAGGTTTATATTCGGAGTGCTGCGCATCATTATTGTGGTTGACAGGGCTTGTTTACATTCGAGTACATGGGCTTTATCCACTTGGTAGGCTACTAGTTGATAGGAATAATGTCCACGGAGTTCAGCTCAGCTATGTTCATCCTGTCATTCGAGGTGCAGTAGAAGTATGGGGGAAAGGTATGAATGGGGGTTCGCAATGCGGTAATGGCATAGGGGATTCACTATGCGCCAGGTATGTCAAGTTAGATGATTGCACTGATTGGAGGCCACCGCAAATGTTAGGGAGAGCATCAGTCAATGTCATGTTCTTCTGGTGTCCCGTTGACAGAGCTGAGGGTAGAGATCAAAGTAGAAATTGTTACACTATGTATGGCTTTCATAGCCTTCATAATTGTGCTGTGGGTCCAAAATACAAATATTCAGATACAGAAAGGCGGAAGGTTGTATGATGTGCCTGACAAAGCCTCACTGAAGGGGGTCTTAATCGAGAAGAGGGCAACTGGAGAATGATTCCGCGCTCACTTATAAGAGAGCACAAATTCGAGAGGCTGGGGAGTATGCGCCCTGCATGATGTTCATCACTGCCCCGGAGAATATTAACCGATACCCTCACTACATCTCTGCTTGCTTTCTCTCTAGTCCGCTTGTTGAACTTAATAGCGAGAGATACCCTGTATTAAGCAATAGACATTGAAGCCTAATTGCGAGCGCGGGGGAGGGTATGTGATTGTGTATGAGACCGGGGCAGATCTGGATGATCAGTTTATAATCATGGGTTAGAACGCCACAGACAGTATATTAGTAGATCAGCATGATGTCTCCTAAGCACAGAAGTAATGTGTTGTTGTGATGGTTTGCTCTCTAAGCAGAACAAAAGAAAGAGAGCCCCTCCGGGTGCAAACCAAACAAACAACCGCCGCCAGACCGTCTCGAAGCTCCGTCGAAAATTCCCAGAACAGCTTCAGGACAGCGTCGTGGCAGTGTCCCCCATTACTACTTTTCTTAATTCTTCCCGGAACTTCAGTGGAAGGATTTTGTCATCATGTCGTTGTCTATGCCTGGTCCCTCCCAGGCTGGTCTCTTCAAGCCTGGGTATCAGAGGTGAGCGAAGCAAAACCCCCCGTTGGTGGAATGTCCCGCCCCTCAGGTCCCTCGAAGCATGGCGGGAGTTTCGTATCAGGCACCGGCAATCCAGGGCAATCCAGCGATGATGCGAATCATTGACTAACATCCTTTTTCTCATAGTCATGATGCCGAAGACGGTGCGGTCATCCGCAACATCGAAGCCTGCCAGGCTATCGCTCAGACCGTGCTCACGTCGCTGGGCCCGTACGGTCGCAACAAGATCGTGATTAACCACCTGCAGAAGATGATCCTCACTTCCGATGCCGCTACGATTCTGCGCGAGTTGGATGTTGTGCACCCCGCTGCCAAGTTGCTCGTGATGGCCAGTCAACAGCAGGATGCGGAGATGGGTGACGGCACCAACATGGTCATCATCCTGGCGGGAGAGTTGCTGAAGAAGGCCGAGGAATTGTTGCGGATGGGTTTGAAGACAAGCGATATCACGCAGGGTTATGAGAAGGCTCAGAACTTCGCTCTTCAGGTGTTGGAAGGTGGGTTGTTTTCGGGTTATGCGTTCTATACTACGTTCAGGGGCTACCGGTCCATTGGCTATCCTGATCGCTTCTCCCGCACTTGCTAACGTATGGATTCATCTCTAGGCCTCGAGGTTGATCGCCTGCAGGATCTTCGCTCTCAGACTGAACTGAGCAAGGCTCTCCGTACCGTTGTCGCCAGCAAGCAGTCCGGAACCGAAGACATCCTGGCCTCCTTGGTTGCCGAGGCCGTCCTCGCCGTCCTCCCCAAGAACCCCGTCAACTTTAACGTCGATAACGTCCGCGTTGTGAAGATCATGGGTGGTAGCTTGGAACAGTCCCGTGTTGTCAAGGGTATGGTCCTTGGTCGTGAGCCCGATGGTGTGGTCAAGAAGGCACAGAAGGCCAAGGTCGGTGTCTTCAGCTGCCCCATTGACATCTCTCAGACCGAGACCAAGGGTACTGTGCTCCTGAAGAACGCGCAGGAGATGTTGGACTTCTCGAAGGGTGAGGAGGAGCGTCTGGAGGCGGCCATCAAGGAGCTGTACGACTCCGGCCTTCGTGTCCTTGTTTGCGGTTCCACGATCGGTGATCTCGCCATGCACTACCTGAACCGTTTCAACATTCTGGTCATCAAGATTTTGTCCAAGTTCGAGCTGCGCCGTCTCTGCCGCGTGGTCGGTGCTACTCCTCTCGCTCGTCTGGGTGCTCCTATGCCCGATGAGATGGGTTCTATCGACATCGTCGAGACCACTGAGATCGGTGGAGACCGTGTCACCGTTTTCCGTCAAGAAGATTCCAACGCTGTTACTCGCACATCTACCATCGTCCTGCGCGGTGCTACCCAGAACCACCTGGATGACGTCGAGCGTGCCATTGACGACGGTGTCAACGCCGTCAAGGCCATCACTAAGGACCCCCGCCTGGTTCCTGGCGCCGGTGCTACCGAGATTCAGCTTGTGGAGAAGATCTCTGCGTTCGCCGATCGCACCCCCGGATTGCCCCAGCACGCTATCCGCAAGTACGCTGAAGCTTTCGAGGTGATCCCTCGTACCCTGGCGGAGTCCGCTGGCTTGGACGCTACTGAGGTTCTCTCTCGTCTCTACACTGCCCACCACCACACGAGCGCCAACGGCGAATCGTCAGAGGAGTCGGAGGAAGAAGGCAGTTCCGAGGAGGAGCCTTACTGGACTACTGGTGTCGATCTGGAGGTGGGACCTTCTTCGACTGGCACTCTTGACACTGTGGATGAAGGTATTCTGGACTTGCTGGCATCTAAGAGCTGGGCCATTAGACTCGCGAGTGAGTCCGCCCGGACAGTCCTCAGTGTCGACCAGATCATCGTTGCTCGACAGGCGGGTGGACCCAAGCCCCCGGGTCCCAACCCCAACTGGGATGAGGACTAAATGTGAGGCGTTGGAGAGCGGTATATTCAATGTGGTCTAAAACTCAAAATGTGATATAGACACGATAATCATGAACATCAACTAACCCGGCATGTCCGGGAGTGTATAATGCTTTTTGTGGTAGTAGTGGTAGTAATATTGTTCATGTGGATGTTTTGGACCAACTAGGATAAGTCAAATTCGATTATGGATTGGCAGTAGATGATTGTAACCATGTGTGGATCTTCCATAACAATGACCATCATCGTGAGAGCGTATACTTGTCTAAGCAGCAGCACTGATAGGCGGGCGGTCAGTCATATCACGTGATGTGACTGGATTTTCCGGGCCGACACTCGACTTTCTTTTCCCGCAAAGGCCTTCTTCGAGCAATTCGATATCTTGAGCAGCTTCAATTCCTTGGTCACCCTCCCCTCACGGTCCTACGTCTCTCCCTGTTTCCGTTCTGTTCGCCTTCACCTCCCGTCCATTATGTCCGTTTCCGCCCAGGCCGCAGCTCGCTGCTGCAGACAGATCGTCCGCCCTACCGCTTCTCTGCGCCTTGCTCCCACGACATACCTGTCCCAGCGCACACTCAGCCGGAGATGGCAATCCACTGAGGCGGAGGCTGCTGCTGCTCCTGCCAACCCCAAAATCACCCAGATTGTCGACCAGATCAGCCAATTGACCCTGTTGGAGACCGCCGACCTCGTCTCCACCCTGAAGGTGCGTTGTTTTGCTCCCCCGGGCCTGTGTCGCAAACTCCGCATCGTGCCTATTGCGGGCTGTATCCCATCCAGTGTGATGGACTGACGCCCATCGAATCACATTGAGCTCAATACTAACATGCACGTTGTCATTCTAGACCCGCCTGAACATCCCCGACCTCCCCGTTGGCGGTTTCGCCATGGGCGCTGCTCCCGCCGCTCCCGCCGCTGCTGAGGAAGAGGAGGCTGCTCCCGCCCAGCAGGAGAAGACCCTGTTCAACCTGAAGCTCGAGTCCGTCGACGCCTCCTCCAAGGCCAAGGTCATCAAGGAGATCAAGACCCTCCTCGGCCTGTCCCTGGTCGACAGCAAGAAGTTCGTCGAGTCCGTTCCCAAGGTCCTGAAGGAGTCTGTGCCCAAGGAGGAGGCCGAGAAGATCGTGGAGACCCTCAAGGCTGTGGGCGCCAAGGCCACTATGGACTAAACTGGGACCTATATACTACTCTCTGCTTTCGGGGACTTTTTTTTTAATGCTACCGGGTCACCCTAAGCTTTCATCTTTCCACAACCCCTCCTCCGTTCTGAGCGGATGAGCGGAGAGGGGGGAAAGGGAAGAGGGAGAGGCTACCTGTGGATGGTCTGGACGTTGTGATTGGACTGCATCTCATCATGCTGGAGTTTTGTCTTGCACCACCCTTTTTTTCTCTATTCCGTCATGTATTGTCTGTGTGTTTTTATCCTATCTCTTTTCTTTTCTCCGTCATATATCTCTTAAGACTGTTCTGATATAAACCGGAAAGCGGGAAAAAGGCGGCGAGTGTACATTATTATCGCATTGAATGGACAATGTTGAAACAAGCTGGAAGGGGTTCTTTTTTTGGCGTGCAAAGCCCCCACGGGGACGTCATGAGCACTGGTAGATCTGTCGCTTGGACGATCGGTCCTAGGAGAGCTGTCAAACCACCACCTCGCCCATATTTCGTAGCTATAATCTCCTCTTCGTACAATTCAAGACTCATACATCTCAACCATATGCAAATAAGAAAGTTGTTACGCACCATCATTACCGATTGCAGTAAACCCGTGAACCGGCGGGCCAGGAACGAACCATGAGAATTTCCCTGCCGGAGCCACGGCGCGCGCCCGACTTTGGCTCCGCCCGGCGAACTGTACTATCAACCCAACTTCGCCTTTACTTCAGCGCGACTTGCACCTCCCATATTGTCATTTCCTTTTCTACTTTCGCAGTAATATGTGCAGTTAAGCTTTATTGTTATTGTTATTATCCTTACGGTTTTCATGTACTGCTAAGCTACGTAGTTGTACTTCGAGTTTGAATGACAGATCTGATTTCATATATCTGAACTTAGTACTACTACAAGTGTTGTGCTATGACTGTAAGTACAGACTATTACTACCAATCTCTACAAATTGAAAGTACTAACTAAGTAGCAACTAGTAGACATGGCGTGCAAAGAGCGTGGAAATTACTAGTGAAGATGGTGATCACTTGGTACTACGTTGATTACATCGTGGTGCTGTTCTTTAATCAAATTTCATTGCCCTACTGCCAGTTCACATGATAGATTATAGTATACTAGGATTACTTATTCAGTACCCAGCTAGTCAGAAATATTAGTAGGGGAGAGACAGGATTTATGCAACAATTGGACGTCTTTATATATTCACTAATACTATGTATCGACCTTTGTATCTCTTTGCAGCAATGACTGGTGACATGTAGAGTTTCCTGTCTATTCCTTGCATCAATATAAATATCAACTAACAGCCTGCATCTCTTTCATCTGAGTGCCCTATCCAAACTCCATATCTCATCGATATAACCTAGTAACAGCATCATATATAACCTTTCATAACCATCTTTCCAGAAGCCAGATTCGAGAGAAGATATCATGGAAGAAAAAGGAATCATAATTTGCAAGCGGGCGAGGGGAGAGAGAGAGAGGAAAGAACACTGGAGGGGGAAAGAAAAGAAAAGAAGGGACAAGAAGCAGATCAATCCAATCCGTAAGATTCCCGACCAGCGCTGCGTTCACTCATTCATCCGTACCATATTCATTCTCGCTGACATGTCACCTCCGTCGACCCTTGCCTTTCCCCTTTCCCCTGGTCTTGAGTTCAACAAATCCTAATTCCTTAAGACCCTCTGTGAGACGTGATGAGTCTCGCATCCCGGGGAAGTCTTTGGCAGGGTACACGCGAAACGGATCGGACCATACTTCAGCAAGGACGGGCATCGATTGACCCGTGTCCTCAACGAGGCCCCAATTCATAAGCCGGAACTGTAAGCGGTACAGTCCAGCTGTACGTACGGAGAGATCGGAGAATATGAAGAATGCTGCGGGCTGTTGGGCTCCCTTGGAGGTTAATGGAGCAAGTTGAACTCTTCGTTCCGGTAGGTGATAATCAAATGTTGATGGATGATTTGGGGCAGTTGTTGGATCGGGATCTTCATCGACAAAGAAAGGGGAGACAAATGCTTTGCCCGAAAGCAATGGTGTAGATTGGCCGGGAGCAGTTCCGAGACGATCCTCTCGAAGGGCACTATCACCATCCATGTCGGACGAAATCGATCCTCGCGTTTCGGGAACCAGGAAGCAGCCAACGGTAAAGCGCGGATCTTGGAGGATATCGATATCATCTGATGTGCTGGGGTCAAAGTCCGTTAATAGCAGCTGCAGAATTGGAGGCGGATCTACAGGGCGGCGGTCTCGGTCTCCGGCACCACAAGCCCGGGCTGCGAGGGGCTGTTGTCGAATGAAGAGGTGATAGCGTGATGTCGTGGAGGTTCTTCGTGGCGGAGGTGATGGAGTTGGAGAATGGTGAAGTAACCTTTCAAACCCAGAAGGCATGCTGGACGTGGTGTGTCGCTGATGCTGTTGTGCCTGGGATTTTATGGGTGGTGCGAGCGCAGGATACATTGCTGAGCTCTCCTCAGAGTGAACGGGGCTTGGAAAGGTCGCTGAGCTGCTACTGTACCTGTATAAATCCTATCAGCACAATGGTTCTCAAGGGAGTTACGAAGCACCACAGCTCGAGGCGAAATAGCGGGAGTATGCACATTTAACCACGATCATGGCATCATAACTCCAGGCAGATAAGACTAGGGCCTTTTTTTGGAAAAAGAAAGGGGTTTATACTGAGACTCCACATCATTTGTCCGCGTCCCGGAAATAGAACCAATAGAACCGCGACTGTAACTGGGGGAATCCTGATAAGGGCTAGAGACAGAGGTTGAAGCGGAGGCATACTCCGCGCCTCTCATGGCATTTGACCTTTGGGCCCCATACTGAGGAAAGACACTATGATTGGCAACCGGTAGTGGCGAAGGGTTAAATTTGGGGTCTGCGAGGCTGTCCCAAGTTCTGCCGTGATAAGGAGCCCTGGAGTTTGATGCGGGATGCATATAAGTCGGAGCGTAGCCCTGATTGTCAGGATAGAGGAAGCGTGGGGGATCTTCCAGAGTGTGGAATCGATTTGGCATCGTCAACATCTGGTGATCGTCACCAGCGGCGTAGGATCTTGCATCCGACGGTTGACCACTGGATGCGGGATACATCCATTGCGGTAGCGGGGTTCGAGACATCTATGCAATTTGTGCGGACGTTTGGGGGTCCGTACAATTTTTTTCTTTCTTCTAGGACCTGCTCTCGCTGTAAAGTGCCAAAAGCTGATCTCCCGTTGTGTTCGCGGGCTAGGCATCCACAATAGGGAACGCCAAAATGGTCAAGCAAGGTTTGGTCAACTTAGAAGAAAAGGTGGAATGAGGCCCGATATGGGAAGAACAATCGACAGGGGTCAGAAGCCCGCTGGGACAAATTGGCCATGTACTACGTAACGGTATACCCAGCGCCAAAGATTTTCCAGAGTTCACAGATTAACTGTGTGCGGTAGGTTTTAAGATGCTTCCTTTAAGGCCAAAGGTGCAAATAACATGACCTGACGTGGGCGGTTGTTCCAACCTACCGAAGTAGCTGGCTGAGGTGATATGCATATGTTAGCTCTCTTTGATGATTCTCAAAGGCAGACCACAAAGCAATTGTCTGAGGAGGGTCCCGAAGCACGGAAAAAGGTAGTCAAGACGAAGGAGGAAAAAGAAAAGGGGACTGCCCACCTCTGCCCAACCAGATCGTAGCACGACTCACACCGGCGCGCAAGTAGCGGCAAGGCAAGCAACTGGAGTAGTGACCCTGTAGAAACGTGAAGTAAGCGTGTCTGATGACCACCCCAGAAGGAGGAAGAATGGCCAGGAGCGTGGTACTAACCCTAAGCCAAGCAGTAAAATACCAAGTGTTTATTGGCACTCTATAGTTGCCTGTGGCCGTGCAAGAAAAGAAATGGATCTGGGGAAACGGGTTGGTCGATGCTTTTGTGAGAGCCTGTGCGTGCCCACTGCGTATGTGTGTGGCATTGTGAAAAATTCAGACATGCAGCAACACTGCGTCCCTGACAGGATCCGGCCGTGTATATCCCCGAATCTTTGAAATCTTTATTCCATCATGAGTTTCTCCGATATCCCAATATTCCCGTATTTAACAAAGAAGCGTAGGTTTTGCTAGTGCCCAGTGTGTTGGTCTGTACACTGCCCGGAACTCTGCGCGACCATCGCAATTACTAGTAAGGTTCCAGTAGAGGAGCCACTTCTGTTATGGGTCCCTTTGGGTTCTGCAGACGACGCAGTATGACGGCCCTGCGGAAAATCATTGGCCAAAGCAATAAAAGACTGACCCTGGTATGCCGTGGGCATCTCGTATTCGTCGAAGTGGTAAGCAGTATCTTAAGGAGGGACTATCTTCCTTGCGATGGCCAATAACGGAATAGGATCCCGTATATGCAACGAATCGCTTGCTAAGTGCCTAGTCAAAGGCGTGAACTGTGTTTACCAAGGCGCCCAATTATTACCCACTTCCCGGGGAACTAGGGCGATCTGCTGCCGAAGGATTTAATTTTTAAATGCGCGATGATCTGGAAGCCCAGCAGGAACCATCGGGTGAGATGTTCGACTCCGTGAGCCAGGTTCCAACGAGTGAGCAGCGACAAGCCAGGAAAGAACAGGGAATGAAAGCGCAGATCGAGTATAATCGATCAGTTGATTGGCAAGAATATAATTCCATGTACGCCGTAAGCCGTGCGGTTCAGATTGCTGGGATCGCTATCCGTGGTCGCCATCATCGTTAGATACTCTGCAGCCCGTCCACGCAATGCAACTAGATGGGCCTCCAGCAGCTGATCGGTGCAAGGAATAAATGGTCTATACTGATGATTTGCGAGCCTCGGCATTCCCGGCACAGACCTGTCCTGCAGCTCGGAAAGGAAGTAGGAAAAAGGAAGATGGTGCTGCAAGATTCGTAGAGAAACGGCTAGAAGACTGTATGGTGGAGTCCAGATCTAGACGCTCACCGTTGTTTTTTCAACTATCGACCATATACAGAGCACTATTCCTGGAAGGGTGTGGTGATAGATGTCGCCCATGAACCCCCGGGACAATTATTGAGCTTGGGACAAGGGCCATTGACCGCAAAAGCCGGACACGGCCGTCGGGGATCTTTCCGCACGCTAGGCGAATACCGCTGTTCAGCTGCTTAGTGTCGGAACTGCGAACTCCATCCGACAATGTTCAGGTTACTTTTGCGCCCACGTCTTTAGCATGAAACCAGGGCCCTGCATACTGAGCTTGTTGCATGCCTAAGCCAGGAGCAGCTTTAACATAGCAAACAAGGACGAATATGGAGTATGGTGGTGGGCGTGTCCAGCCCCGTTCTCCCAGGCCCGCGAGTATTGCCGATTTGTCATTGCTGGTCGTGGATACCGGGGTCTTTTGCACGGGCCGTTTCGAATCTAAGACTATTATATAGTGAGCTTTTCTCCGCAACAACCATCGAATTCGCTGATCATTACTGGTCCAGAAGCACACCGGACCACAAATGATAAAACAAGCGGGCCAATTGGTCAGATAATTTGCAATAACGGAACTACAGAGGAGGAAAGAAGAAGGGAGGTGAGCTGGCTTACTTCTGGTGGGGACCTCAAAAACCACTTCCAATTCTGATCTCAGTGAAGCCCGAGAACCCCGTTGGGTGCGCTCCGGATTTCCTGTAGTGAGATCCTGGGACATACTCATTCACACATTGTGGCTAAGGTACAAGGTTTGATGCCTATCCTTGCAATGGAAGATCGATCGGTGGTCACCGCCACATATCACACTGGATGTTTCATCTCAGCTGATTTGTGTTATCGTAACCCCCTCTGGTGCTGCGGGGAAGCAATCCTAGTCGGCGACAGAAGTACTTTTCGTGCATTAGCCCTGTAACAACTGTTCACCATTCCCTCTTGGGTGGACGGGCTACTGTATGTGTGGTTGCCTTGCCGACAACCATGAATGATGTGTCACATCCTTGACTGTTGGATGACTTGATCGATGGCCAGAATTGGCTGAGTGCTGATGAGTCAACAACCACCGTCAGACAGATGGAACTATTACCGAGTACCGACACACCTATGCAGCGTTCTATTTCCCGGAATCCGGGTGTGCCTCATGCACACTAAGGGTATCCAGTGTCCACACCTTTCTGTGTTCCTACCCAGGCAGTCATGGGTCTGGCCTTTTGGAATCCCGGAAGCTGCAATTGCAGTGCAGTGGCTAGTGTGTAGATTGGGTGCTACGGCGATGATCCTGTTCGTGCGTCATGACCGTCCACAGATAGTGCATAATCGTGAGCTTCTTGCTTATTCCCAGGAGTTTCCTCCGGGGGAGAATATCCTCCACTTTGTTTTTTTTCCCATCGCCGATATGGATATTCTCTTAGTTGGAACAAATGGAGACATGGCCCGGACGCTGAGGTCGGATGCCAATTAACGCTGCGCGTTGCCAGCCACACTTCATTTGCCTGTAGAAGGCAACTAGGACGGAGAACCCGTGTAGGAAGCGAGCCACGGAGATACTCCTTGAGTAAACTATCGCCAGAGGCAACCAAAAGGAAAAGATTTGTCAGGAACCGAAGGTATTATTCGACCAGCAGTCTGCACGCATGCGGTTCATTTCAAAGGAAGGCTGGAAATGAGTGACTTACGGGGAAAGAAGGCGTTTCTCCGATTGGGCCCTGGGAAAAGTCCGTGGGAATCGGAGATCTCCAGTTTGCAAGAGAGCGGAGGAGTTGCTGCGATCTCGTCGACCTGTCGATTGCCGCATTACGAAAAGGAAGGGGGGATCAAGTGACTTGGCCCAACGTTCGCCTTCCGCCGCCGTATAGCAGCAACTGCTCCCGGCAACCCAACCGCAATATTCTCCTCCAGCCAGCTCAAGTTTCCCTTCACCATTCCCACGCATCTTAATTAGCCACCCGCCAATCCTACTAAAAGCCGTTCCATATGGAATGGTACTGTATCTACCTACGGATATGACAAATCATGATACATGAAGAGGAAATAACACAAGGCAAGTTGATACCAATAGAGTGTGGGAATGCGGCCACTAAATCTTAGACAAACCTTACCTATAGACATCCTACCTAACTAACTAACAAGTATTTGCCCTCCGGTCTCACCGGATGATTTGAGTGCCCAAGGTTCTGGCCGAAGTACGGGCCGCCCGCCTCGCGTCGAGACAGCCTTTGGGCTCTACACGCCAGCGACACTTTGGGTTCTGAAAATCTCCCTGGACGGCTCATGCAAGAATGCCTTCGTTATGGACCACAGCATACAATCGGGAAGATCAAGAATATGGATCGATGCTCTGTCTTCGTTGGGGCCGTTTCTTGGAGAAAAAGCAAAAGAGCACACCGAATCCTGGACGCATCAGCTCCCCTGCTAGGGCGACGTGGAAGCCTCGATCGCGAACTAATGGCGCAACCCTGCAAGAAAAGATCTTCGAAATCTTACGGGTCGATGGATTATCGACCTTCCTATTTAGTCTAATAGTCTGCGTCGACAAAGGGCTGCTGCGAGCAAGGGAGCCAGGATACCCTGACTCTCAAAGCTGACAAGCTTGCCTTGGCTTTCAGTCGTCCGCACTGACCTTGCACCTGAACCTAGGATATCCTGGCTGTCTCTTCGTTTTGTCTTGCGGTACCCTGCGTGTGCTCTTAGCGCGGGCCACAGCAACTTGCACACCTGAAACTACTCCGAACAGAAAGGATAATCCTTGTCTAGGAGGCGTTTGTATTGTACGTACGCTTTGAATCAAATTGGCAATCCGTACATACACGGAAGATGTCTTCATATAATCGATGGTCTCAGCTTAATACCCAAACCTAACCACAAAAGGTGAGTCAACCGCTACCAATACACTTACAACCTTACAGCATGTTGTGTGGGATGTAGACGTGACAGCCAGAGACCGCTAGAAATCCTATTGTATTGATAGGGCACTAGAGAAAGTAGCAATGCCACCAGAGACTCTTTGGAATCAGTGACCAGATTGTGCTGCAGGCTACCCAAACGGTGAAGAGTAAACCTATGTTGTGCGAGAAGCATATCAGCAATCGGTATTCTACCAGCCTGCTTCGTGTCTTGAGGGTTTGCTCACCTAAACCATCATTGTGGTGACACAAAAAACTGACGTAATATGAGACAGGAAGTTGCAAGGGGCTTCAGCTCACCTGCCAGATAATGTTATCTGACATTGAGCAGGCGGTAGAGCACACAATGAAACCATGGGACCATGTCTCGCCCATTGTCCACTTGAAAAGGATTGACGTGGCTTAACATGAAGCCGTGCTCTCGGACTTGGCCGACAGCATGGTTCTTTGCTGGAAAGTGCATCATGTTCGGGCTCTCCGTTGGAACAGTATGTAAACTTAGCAGATGCTAGTTGCATTGCATAGTCTCTGCCACTGAGGTTGAGAGATTGTGGTCATGCGAGATGAGGACTGCTAAGGATGATGCTGGCTTCCCCAGATTCTTAGCTGGTTGAGCATAACCTTTTGCTATGTTAGGAAGAGAGTGTATCACGAATCGCTGTGACTATGCTGAACATGCCTGCCAAGCTGCATACATAGACTATGCAATAGATGCTATTAGCATGCAAGTTTGATAGCTACTTCCCATAGCAAAATATAGCATTAGCTTCCGAGCATAGGGGGAAAGCAGGCCCTAATGCGGACACACTTTGCAAGATGCAATATCCGACAGAGCTAATATGAGCTTCTTCCATGAAAGTCTTCGATGGTAATTGCCGGAAAAGCATCGTATCAGAAAGAGGCTATTTGTGCTGAGCAAGTACTTCGAGCTCAATGCTTATGTACACCAGTGACCAAAAAGAGAAGCAATCATAGTATGAGGTCCGGACTTGGATCTTCCTCGATGTAATAATGCATAGACGCATTTCCAATAAAAGATATCAGATCACCCTGAGAAGTTGCCGCCGTTTCACCATGAAGAGAGACTGTGGTGATCGCCTCAATACCAGATCGCGCTCGTGCAGCTCGTGACTCTATGCGACTCTCAATAGGCCCGTCGCTTGGTCCAACGTATACAGCGATGAGCTGGCCATAGACACGATCCCACGCAATCATATGCTCGGTCTCTTCCCAAGGATTATCATAGCTTGGATCCTGATCATGTGAACATCTGGCTCTCCTTGCCAAACGACCAAGCTGCATCACATGAATGGAACGTTCGAGAGGGAATCCACTCCTATCGCAGCTGACACGGACTAAACCTAGCGTTGAAGGTGTCCAAGACTCAGTGCCCTCTTTTCCAGCAGACGGAGAGGCCCCCGAACACTGAACTGGAGAATACTGGGGAAACCAGGCATACTCCTCATTCTGGCCTTCAGTTGATGGCAAAGATACAGGGATAATGTCTCCCTCGTGTTCTTCGAGCAGTTCTGCAATCTTCCCGAGATCTGTTGCTGACCTGGAGCATCCGGAGGCGTTGATTTCGGTATCTAATCGTGCAACGCTCTCATAGCCTGTGCTGTCACCATCGATATTGAAGAGAGGTATATCAGATATTATCGAGTGCGGATCACTTATATTCGTGTGAATGGGGCCTTCAGAATCCCAACTAAGACCCAGCTTGTGCTCGATCTGTATTAGTTGGGCCTCAAGAAGCTTCAAGTACTCTTTCTCACCTGCCATCCGAGGCAATAGGGGACCAATAACTTCTGACTCAAGCAGTGTGTTGACATCTTTGAACTCGGAAATACCAGGAAGCATTCCCTGGGAGTGTTTCGACACTTCCTGCAAGTAATCCATAGCTTGGACAACATCACCACTTTCCGTCAGAGTCACTATACAAGAGTACATGCATTGGTACATTTCAGGGGAAGCGCTTGGCGAAAGTCTCCACATCGCTTGCCTCCATACTTCAGACAGAAGGTCTTTGCTCCGCAGTTTCGCGAGTAAGCAAAGGTAATGCCCCCGATGCATGGCTGGGCCGGCAGAATCGCCCCAGGACAACAGATCGTGAAGGGTTTTCTTCCTTCGTTGTTTACCTCCCTCGATCAACTCCAGTATCGCGTTCGTATCAATAGTAACCTCACGGAACCTCTGATAGTGAAGGGCATTGAGGAGCGCATTCACTAGAGATTTACTTGCGAGGCTGTCCATGGGCCACAGGCCAACGGAAAGGTACCCGTCCAAAAACCTTTCAAGAGCCGGCGCAGACAATGAAAGTGCAGCATAGTACATCCCCAGAAAGTATAGATTACTCGTACGCGGTAGTCCCAGCCTCTCCAGTCTTGTGATGATAGCATTGAGCGCCGAGAGAATCTCGCCGTAGGAATTCTTTCGCTGGCAACGATTCAACGCTTGCGCTAAAAGGGCGCAGGATTGTGTCTGTAAAAGTAGACTGCCTTCTACTTCATTGATAGTTCTTTCAATGAGTACCTGCAAGTGACGCAGGTTTCGGACGTCATGTTTCAGGGCTTTGAACAACGCGATTTCATCGGGGTTTTGTGGCTGTCGACCAGAAGAGCTCCAAAAAGGTGGTGGTAGAGATACCAAAGGCCAATCACCGAGAAATATGTCCGAGAGGTGTTTGTCAAGCTCCGGATTGGAGACGTCATTGTGGGAAGGTTTCGTGGTACCTGTCAGAGCGAACCTGACCAGGTGGGACGGAGTGGGCTCGGTATATGAAGCTCTCGAGTTGACGTCGATGGAGACATGGCGGCACAGCGATGGTGATATATAGAACGACCTCAATGCCCGCCGCCGTGATAGCACACACAAATGAGAGTATAGTGACATAGATTTCGACTACTTCTAGGCATCAAGGACACAGACAAATGACACAGTGGAGGCGGTATTCAATGGCATACCAGTGATAATCCGGGGTTGGGAAAGTGGAGATGGCAGCGGGTCGATAAAGCATAATAACACCCGGCAATCCACCAGGGGCAAGGCGGTCAGCATGGCGGTGGACCATGGCGTAACTGCAACTCCGATCCGGAATCGAGGCTTCAGTCCTTCAGTCAGAAACCGACCATCGTTTGCTTCTCACCTCACCACTATACTCGAGGTTTCTAACACCCGACTTTTTTTTTTTTTTCACGAATTTACCTCAGAAGGTATTCCTTGGAGCCTTACACACTCCTTTCCATTTGCAGCATGCCCGCCGAGCAGTCTGCGGCCAGCCCTTCTGGCGCCAAGGAAATGCCCAAGCAATCCGCAGAGAATGACCAAGCCGGCGATGATCGCAAGGAACCTACATCACCTTCAAAAGAGAAGACACAGGGAGAATCAGGAGGAGAGGCTAGCGTAAATGACGCCAGTACGGACAAAAAAGACGATGATGCTGCCTCAAGAGCCCGCCAAAGACAAGAAAGATTCAAGGCTCTCCAAGCTCGCGCAGTAAGTTCATGGTAGCGAAGGGCCACTGTACGCTATGTTCGTACTGACATCATTTTAGAAAACTGCTACTGAGCGGAATCTGAAAGAAACGGCTGCCGAAACACAGCGTCTCGCAACCGATCCGTCGCTGCTTTCTTCGCTCTCTCGCAAACATGCTTTCGCATCGCACAACCTTCTCAAGGCTGACACCGAAGCCGCTGGCGAGGATTTTGAACGTAAGCGTGCATGGGACTGGACCGTCGATGAGTCCGAAAAATGGGATAAGCGCATGGAAAAGAAGCAGCGTCATCGGGACAATGTCGCATTCCAGGACTACACCCAAGACGCGAAGAAAGTGTACAAGAGACAGCTGCGGGAAGTACAGCCTGACCTCGAAACGTACGAGAGGGAGAAGATGGCGGCGATCGAAAAAGCTGCTGCCAATGGCGATCTCGAGATCGTCGAGACCAACGACGGTGAAATGATTGCCGTCGATAAGAACGGCTCTTTCTACTCCACGGCTGACAGTGTTGGCTTTACGGAGAACAAGCCCGACCGAGCTGCTGTTGACAAGCTCGTGGATAACCTTCGGAAAGCTGAGGAAGTCCGACTTAAGAAGCGGAGGGACCGCCGCGGAGACGACGACGGCGACGTCACTTACATCAACGAAAAGAACAAGCAGTTCAACCAGAAATTGTCGAGATTCTATAACAAAGTACGTTCTTACTTTGTGAAGCGTCAAAAGCCCTAGCTAATGTCTTCCAGTACACTACGGAAATTCGCGACAGCTTCGAGCGTGGTACGATGATCTGATTTACGCCAAGGAAATCTGAAACTGCAGGACAGTTCAAACGTACAGTCGCCTTGCAAAAAGACCTGCATGACAGCAACTTGATGTGTGCGCTTCGTCAATTTTCATTTTTCTGCACCTCGTTCCGGACTATACTGGACAAATGCAAAGAAGGTCGCCGACGGACTCCCCTTGCAGGGTTCGCCACCCTGCTTGACGAAGTTGACATCCAGTTATAGCACATACGAGCCGCACCTATCTCAGTCACACCATCATCTTGACCGAGATACCAAGTCACCTGACGGCCTAATGACGGGTGGTCCCTTGAAACACGAATTAGGCATGTTTGGTTATAGCCTCATTTATGATACATGATGTAGTGTACACTATGGCAGCTTCCAGAGAGATTCCCTGGACAGCTCGAGATGGCCTGGTCACAAAGCCACTTTGCTGATGCCGTTATCTCAGAGCGAAATCAGATGATGACGTGCGCTCGGCCGGGAATTTGACCTAAATTCACAGGCCTTCCATGGGCCTGGTCGGTAGATAGGTCTTCGCCTTGCTCACCTTGGAAATATTCTCACTCCAGGCGCCAAGCAGCCAGTCTGACATGTTAGTTTGGCAATCAATTTCTTGTCCTTGTGCTCCTCCCTTATAGCATGCTCTTCCTCCACGCTTTCGTAGCTAGCGCTTCTATCTTCTCTACTCCCAAGGCACCTCGGACAGATTCGTCATCCAGGGCTTCCATTACAGCCTCACCCACAGTATCCACCTGGAAGGGTTTCGTGACCATAGAGCCCAGGAAGTCCAGTCTGTTGCCCAAAAGCGCATTGACCTGAGAACCGACGAAGCCACCAAGAGCAATGGGGAGTGTGAACTTCCTGCTTTCATCGTACATAAACGGGGCTCGCACAAAGACACTCCGCAGCTCCGGCAACTTCGCTGCGATGATAGATTCTGCCTCTCTCTTCGTTGTGATATATCGACTGGGGAGAACCGGCGCGCCTGAAGCAGCAGAGATGTAGAGAAAGGTCGGGACATGTTCATTGAGGGTTTCTTGCGCCAATGCGACCGCTAAAATGAAGGGTAATCAAGATGTTAGCAATCTATCCATTCCAGCATTGACCCGCGACCGCACGTACCAGAATCGCGATTCATAAGCTCATATGTAAACTGCCCATTGCGCTCTTTTACTTGAAGAGGTTCTCCTTCCCGCCTTTGCAACGGATCCTGACTGCCTGGTTTTGACGCCGCAAATGCCTTTTGCAATCCGCTAAGGATTGGTTCTCGTCCTTGCACCACCCCTTTGTAGTCCGCCTCGAGGAGGATTCCCATACTATGGACGACGGCGTTCGCACCATTCAAAAAGGGTTTGTAGGTTTCCGGCTTGAGCATATCGGCCTTAGCCCATTCGACTGAGCTGGCCCAGCTTGGACGATTGAGAGAACCAGTGACGGTATTCCATCGCGGTTCTCCGGAGCGACTAATACCAGTGTATGATTTAGATGAATTCTATAAGATATCAAGATCAATAGCGATCGTACCTAAGCGACGTAACCTCCCATCCTCTAGCGACAGCCGATTTGCAAATCCTCGAACCTGTACGGGAAATAAACCGTTAGCATTGATTGCTCAATCATCCGGCTAGTAGGTAGGTACATAGACTGCATGAACCACATACCCAAGAAGCCGTTTCCGCCGGCGACAACCACCCTCTTTGCTGCCATTGTGGGGTAGAATCAATTAAGCTCGAATCAAACGTATTTGCTTTTGTGAGAATTAAGATACTGAAGTCAACGAAACATTTTCATGAATTCCAAATCGCCGGAGCTCGAACCCGGAGGAAGCAGCGACCACCCGCCGCAGCTCAGCTTCCGCCGGATTCCTTATCGTATCACCCGCATCCGTCACGTGCAACTGCAGAGATTCCGCGGCCTGGATCGCGACAAGAGCGACACTGGAACTACACACTCCCTTCTTAACCATCGATATATTCTTTTCTTGCCCGGTATCTGCATACGACCTGCTTATCACAAATTGGTTATATCGTCAGTCTTGCAGCATGCCATCAGCGACAGGAACCAAGCGCGTCAGAGTGAGTCCATCCCTCCCAGATCATACAAGACCAGGCCGACCGACTAACCTATGCCAACTATACAAGGGCGTCTCTGTCTTCCGACCATTCGGTATGCCTCTACTTTCTACTTTCTTTCCATTTCCCAAGTCAAATCCATTCTAATAACCCACAACAGTCTTTGGCAGTGAAGCCCAACCCTTCGACCCAGCCAAGAAACCTCCCCACGTCCCAGCAGACCACACGCACCAGTGGCGCGTATTCGTGAAAGGCGTCAACGACGAAGACATCTCCTACTGGCTAAAGAAAGTACAATTCAAGCTCCACGAGACATATGCCCAGAACGTGCGAACGATCGAACAGGCCCCCTTCGAAGTGACCGAGACCGGATGGGGTGAATTCGAGATCCAGATCAAGCTATACTTTGTTCCGGAGTCGACCGAGAAGCCGCAAACCCTATGGCATAGCTTGAAGTTGCATCCGTACGGACCAGACGCGGAAGCGAAGAAAGAGCGCCGCGAGCTGGTGGTCAGCCAGAACTACGAGGAGGTGGTGTTCAATGAACCCGTGGAGCAGTTTTATGAGCTTTTGACGGGTGGCGCGGGGGCGACAGGGCAACCGCAGAAGGGAAAGGGTGGAAAGAATACCAAGCAGTCGCAGCAGCAGCAGAAGGGGGTGAGGACGGCTGAGATTCCAGCGAACTCGTCCGCGGAGAATCCGTATAGTCGGACGACGGAGAGTAGTGAGATGGATCGGTTGGGGGAGGCGAATAAGACGGTTGAACGGATGATCAAAGAGGAAAGGGAACGGTTGATTGAGCGGGAGAAGAAGTTGGCGGAGCTGCGTGCGAGTGAGGGCGTCCCGGCTACTACAAAGAAGCGTTAAGTGTTGAGAAGATTGGGATGTGGATGTTTGGATAACACGTTCTGAGACGTGCTCTACTCGCGTGTTGATACGCTTCGGTTGCCCAGCTGGCGTCATTATTGCCCGGCGATATTTGGGATCTCCTTGCTGGCATTGATTAAACAGGTTTCCCCGAAGTACTCCCTTTCTAGGGTGGGATAAGGCACATCATCAGTAGCCTATGGGGACTACAAAGGGATTATAGCCCTATGCTGAGCCCTCGCTGTAGAGCTACTTCCAGAATTGCTTGCTGGCGAAATTGCAAGGACATAGACCTACACGACTTGGAAGCCTACAGTGAACATTTCCGGTTCACTACTGTCATGATACATTTGACGCACACATAGTTAGAACTAGGAGCTACACATACAAAAACAATGCGAACATTATCATGCATTTTAGTCTTCGTTATTTTCACGTACTTGCTCAGAGCCCGTGGCCTTCGGCTACTTAGTCCATTATGTCCTTCCAACTTAGGAGCCACAGCTGTCCGCATGGTCTTGTCCTTCTTGACCCGCCCAGCAACCATCCCCTAAAATTTAGAACGTAGAGGCATGTTGAGACCAACCAATCCCTCATAACAGATGTTCGGCTTCTGGTAGATCCAGCAAAGATCGCTTTTCCGTTTTATAACAGGTATTAGAAGCGACAGTCAACCCTGTTTCTCATTCGAGCCACGCTCGACAAGACCCATAATAAAATGGTGATACGATGCATCAGCTTACAAGAAAACCATAAACCTCTTTTTGAACAGCGATAGGCCTAGTCGAGGTGAGCGTAGCTGCGGGGACACTTCACGTAGTCAAGTCCGAGGAGGGCGAAATGGAGACTTGGAAGGCGTATTCGAGGGCAAGCTCGAGTCCGTAGCAATAGCCGTGAGCAGTGCCAGGCAGGATAGCGTTTAGTGTTGCAAAGTCTGCTTAATGTGCATCGCAGCGACACCCAGAGTAGTAGTAGCGCGGTCCATAATACTGCAGCGAATAAGGTAGTAGGGCTTCTCAAGCAAGGTTCAGAGGTCCTCGGGAGATTGCACGTTCGCAGATTATTAGCCTCTGGTTGGTCATCACATTGAGGCAAATCATGTGAAGTCAAGATCAGGCATAGGACCTAGAAGCAGCGGCTCGCTGCAGGTTGGGTCAATGTATGCGGATAATAGCCCCGGCGAGAATATGCCTTGTGCATCAGTCTCCATAGGCCTGGATGTGTCATTGCTGCTAACAACAGAGAGCCAAGCATTATTTTCAGGTGGATAGCTGGGGCCATTCCTTGAGGCTAGAGGCACAGCGTTGCTGGTTTGTGGATATCGGGACTCAATCCAGGCCGTAAATGTTTCTGCTGCAACGCTCCGGAGGAAGTAGTGAGCTCGATTTGCGATGGGCCACTTCTGCTTCAGTGTCTTGAGACAGCCTAGAACCAAGATGATACGGTTACAGTGATGATCCGAACATTCTGAGGAATGGATACGACTTGTGGCAAGCTGGACCATTCCACAGAGTACTAAGCTGAACACCACAAATGGACTGTATCTTTGCACGCTGGGGCGGACTGAGAGAAGATTGGAGAGTTGCTTGGATGCCTCCGTGGCTTTGATGTCATGAACATGTCGGGTGAAGGATGGTGAAAGTCGAGATGGAATCACTGGGCAAATCGGACATTCTGTTTCTGGACAGACGGGCCGAAGACTGCTTCTTGGAAGATGCAGGAGCATTGCAGCAAAGTGAATAGTAGTGTGTGCCTGGAAAAGTATTTCATCGACGCTGCCGTACGTATCCACGATATCGACTTTGTTTGGTGGAAGGTGATTTGTCCAGCTAACAAGCGCATTTTCGACAGCTTGCAAGTGATCCCTATGTGTTTCTGGCAGGCTATTCAAGACCAATACCCGTGCCAGGATGCATACCGCTTCGATGCGGTAGCTGAAGGATGAGTAGCTTGTTTCTTCATTAGCGAAGATGCGTTTATTGAACCCAGCAAGAGTTGGAGGCGATGGTATATTGGTGTAATTGGCATATACGGACTCCTCACAAGGCAAAGCAACGTCGTAAGGGACACCACTGCATCGCAAGACCACTCTCTTCTGCAGAGCTGCCATGTAGACATCGACGATGAAAAGCTCCCACCAAGTCCGGCGCAGGCTCTCAGCTTCCACGGCATTGGAAGACGTGGACGCATACTCTTGTCGGTACATTCCAAGTTCCAAGGCAATGTCGACAGCTTGCGAAAAGGATGTGTGAGCTTGCGAGCACTCGCCGCGAGCGCATGACAATATCGAGTAAAGCAAAAGGGCCTGAACCTTGCATGGCGTCTTCTCTCCATCAGTGCTCAGTTGCAAACTGGCCATATCAGGAAGAGAGCCAGTAGACAAGAAATGGCCACCTATGAGTGTGACGACTTCATGCAGGTACGCTGGGTACTTGCGTTCTTCATACAAGGGCGCGGGAACCAGGATTGGATGCGCTGAGTGAAAGTTTTCATAATACAGGCGGACTAGCCGAGCATCAGAATCTGCAGCGTCTTGAACTTGGCCTTCCACGACTGGGGTGATGCGCTGGTTCTGCTGACCAGAAACAGTCGAAGAAGCATCACGCCCACTCATATCGGTAGGGTGAGGTGACAAGAGCAGGTCTGCGGAAGATGCATCGTGATGCTGCCGAAGTGCTTCACGGGTTTTCCGTCTCCCACCACGTCTAGAAGGAAGATAATTACACTTAAGTCGGTTCTGTAAGCAGCGAGAGCAGGTGGGGGTTTGGGCGTCGCATTTCAGATGCTGCTTGCGACATTCCGTACAGGCCAGCAATGACGGACGAGTCATGTTCAGTACTCTGGCTGGAAGCTCTCATTCATGCTGACATATGTCCAAAGAGTATAAGTAGTAGTAGCATATTTTTCATACGAACAGACGACTGTTCCGGGGGTGAGGAGACAGAAGAATCCAGCTGGCGTCGAAGCAGATACAGTCATGGAGATGCACACTTTATGGTCCATGCCTACTCGGGTAAATGCAGACTCATAAGCTCACATGACTAATCTACTTTATGCATAAAGAAGTAAGTGAATATCGCCACTTCAGTACCTCGTAAACTCAATGAGTTCTATTTTATCTCTTTATAATATACTTTAACTTTAAGTGGGTCCATCTTATATTCAATAAATCGTATAATCTGTTTTACACTATGTGGGAAAAATCTTTGTTTCCCAATCTGCATCAACTACCTCGAAGAGTGGCAGTCCTTCTAGATAGACACTGAACTGGGTATTACTATGCATGGCTTATTCGCCTCAAACTGATCTAGGTCGCTGTAATACAAAGATGCCAACAGCAACAGTCCCTGGAATTTCAAATTCCAGGTCCGCCAAATCTCAGTCTAAATGCATACAGATTAATCAACGCTAGTCATGAATCATAGCGAGTGTCCTGCACTCGTCTGTCCTTGTCCAAATCCTCCTCTCACCCCCTAAGATGCCTGATAGACATGGCTGCTCCGTCCAGTGTCGCGATCATAGATGTTGTAGCCGAAGTCCGCAGCATTAGGCGGCGTATACACTGCAGACGCGTCAGACAACTATACCTTTCCGCAGGATCGAGGTCAACTTACAATGCAAAGAAACAGCAACTTGATCTTTCTGTGGATTCATGACCCTATGCAGCCCGATCTGGTCACAGATATACGCAACTTCGTCGGTCTTGTACGTTGTCTCTTGCTTGACCGTCAAAGGGGCATCATGGCCTCGTTCGGGATCTGGCGTGTCGTAAATCACTTCGTTCAGTTCTCCCCCGAGGATCTTCATGATGCAGTGCGCATCTGCGTGATCATGGATGGGCGAGCCTTTTTGAGGGTTCCAGACTAGAACCAACTGTTGGCGTGTTAGTCGTCAAGAACCATAACAATCTCCAGATTCAAGACTAACCAGGTTGGCACGGCCATTGATATCCTCCACCAAATTGCGAGTATAGTTCTTGCTCACGTCGTTTCGTGCGAACCGTGACCAGTCTTTAGGGTTAGAAGCGTATTTGGACATGAAGGCAATCAGAACATTGTGGTCAACATTCTCTCCATCAATGCCGCGAGAGCTACCTAGGTAGCTTCTCAGGTCTTGTACAAGCTGCTCGAATGTATAGTTGTCCTCTTCGACCAATAACGGAGCCGAGTCCTTGTTCAGGTGGGAGGTAGTATAGCTGGCAGTAGAGCCAGGGAAAGTTGCAAGCATTGTAGAAGCCATTATTGTCACCAAGATGTTAAAGTTGAAAGTTGAAAGTTTGGTACCTATTGGAAGTGGAACATGGTCTTCTCGTTGTTCCTTTATACCTTAATGGAATTGTGATATTGGTAGCTTTAGATAAAGTCCCAGCTCCGTATTTTGTTCAACACACAGCTTTTGGATGGCCGACAAGTTCAATCGGCGACCGGAGAGAACACCTATCGGCGATTGAGAATCATCCAATGAAAGCGCCCCGAACAGCCATCAGCCAATAAAAAGTTCCCATTAATCACAGAGCAAGCATTCAGTAACCCCTTGAACAACCCCCGGAAATCCGATCTACACACCGCGTGCGACAGACAAATGTCCAGCTCAGGATCTTCCTGAAAAGGCTCATGACGACGATAACCAAGTTCTAGGCCACTTGACCGCGCATATCATTACGTGGAGGTTTTGATCCTTCTGTCACAAAGAATGCCCAATTTAATCTAATTAATACCATCATACTATACACAACTCCGTCATCTATACAAACCTGCGCATAACCATCCTCACCCTATCAACAGAGCTCAGAACAGCCCGCCAACTACTACCCCCGATCCTAGCCGACGACATAGACATCGTAGATACACCTCTCCTACTAGTACCACTCCCCATAACCTCGGGAACTTTCACAGGCATCCAAAGAAAAGCCCTCCGCCGATTCCCCGTATCACCCCAAGGCAATCTCCCACCCCGAACATTAACCTGCAACGAAGGATGCAAGAGACGAGGTTCACCCAACGCAGCATCCCTCTCCTGTCTCCATTTCACAAACTCCTCTTCCCCAGTTCCCTCCTTCACATGCTTATTCCCCTCTTTCTGATCCTTGACTGTCACAAAAGCCTTAGGCGCCCGATTAGTCGTAGAATCAGCAGGCGGATAATCATGCCCCGTATACAGCTTAACATGCTCCGGTAGCGCCAGCAGCTTCCGCATAGACTGATACAAGGCGCGGGCATCTCCATGCGGGAAATCACACCGCGCACTGCCCACATCTGGATTGAAGATCGAGTCGCCCGTGAATACGTTGCTGCCTATCATGTACCCACTGTGATCGGGCGTGTGGCCGGGCAGATGGAGGACTTGGGCGGTGATGCGTCCGATCTGGAAGGTCTCGTCATCTTGGAAGAGGTGGTCGAATGCGGTGGAGAGGTCGTTGGACGGGATGTTGTATCGTTGTGCGAATGTGGCTTGGACTTGGCGGATGCGGTGGCCGGTGCAGATGGGGACTTTGGGACTTGATTCTGATGATGAGGAGGAGGAGGAGGAGGAGGATGAGCGCTGTTGATGATGGAGCTTGGTCTGGATGTAGTGGGCTGCGGTGAGATGGTCGGCGTGAGCGTGTGTCTCGAGGATTCGAGTGATGTGATAGCCCTTTGAGGCCGCAAAATCAAGAAGTTCGTCGGCTGAGGTTGTAGTCACGGTGAGTTGGGATGGATCGAAGTCGAGGACTGGGTCGATGATCACGGCTTCGTGTGTCTCTGGACAGGCTACGATGTATTGCCATGTTGAGGTTTGTTTCTCGAATATGGGATGGATGATTGGTTCCATCGTGTGATGTTGCTGGTTCCTCTTCTGCTCGTTGTGTAGACGTTGCGTTAGTGATGTATATACTTCGTTCATGTAGCTTTTTTTTTTGACTTCATACAATGAATGACTCGATGTGTATGTCGGTTTCTTTTCTAAAATATTTTCTCTTTTTATACGTAGAAACCTCTTACACATATCCATTCCTCTTCTCGGGCGAGATGCTAATACTATGACTCTATACAATTGCCATCTCAATCCCGATCCCCGATCCCCTACCTCGCCGACCTGAAGGCTTTTCAAGGTCCCCGGGTTCCTGTCCAAATTTGGTAGTAATATATCCATCTCCTTCTTATCCGCCACTGCACCAAGAACAACTGGAAAACTACCTATAAAGAAGCAACCACAAGCCCATCGAACGCCATGACCACCAGATATACGTATCACCGCCCCGGACCACCTTCCTGGGCACTCAGGAGTACTTGAAATTCCTCAGATCTGCGACAACATATCTCACTGGCCGAGAATTGCGGTGTGCATCGCCATAATGGCGTTGATGGTGTGATAAGCCGGTCGCCGAACGGATAAGCTTCAATCGCCGATACCTTTTTTCGCGGCACACCCCTTGATTTTGTCTTGGTTGAGACCTGCCTGGTCGGAATGTGAGACTTGGATAACAGATTACAGGTCGGGGATTTTGCCCGGTCGAATTTGGTTTGTTAGGTGTTGATTGGGTGGGCTGATAGGCTGGCTGGCTGTGTTCTATCTGGTAGCAAGTTGCTGATATGGGAGGGCAAGGGGTTTCCCGTGGGAAAGGACAAGTTGGTGCTATGGGAGAGAAGAACAGTCACGAGAACAATGACCGCATAGGTTCTTAGTTGGGTTACTAGCAGGAGAGCAAAGGGGAGGTTCTTGGTCAGATGTCTCGTTCATCTGATATATTGGGAGAGGGCTGGTTGGTGCTTGATTTGAGAGGTGTATCATGGTTTCGATATGCTGCGGTAGGGCTTTGTTGGTCGCCGAATCGGTGTTTATTTGTCTTTTCCTACTTAGTTATAGGAAACGATAACTTCGTTCTTCGGGGACTTTCAATTGGCGGTATTCTGCGGATGTCGAGCATAATTGACAAGCTCACTTGTTGAGTTGGGATGTGAGAAGCTCGTTACGTATTGTAGGTGCTGCATGTGGGAGTCACTGATACAACAGTGTCCTCTTGTGGACGACTACAGGGGAGGTTCTAGCGCCATTCTCGAAGGAGACCAGTGGGTATCAGTGTCAAGGAGAGCTGGAAGATCGCCTGGCCTGGTTGGCCCCTTCTCACAGCTCTGTTTGCTTTTGTGTAACAGTGGTCCTGCTTGCCAATAAGGTGGGAACAATGGCTGCATGGCGAATATCCGCAATAGAGGAGATGCATTGATGATTTTAAATGATTGTTTTGCTACTTATCACTATATTAATGGGTCTCCAACCACTACGGGTCTCGAAAAACACAGAAGTAATGATTCAAGTGTGCTTCTATCATGATGTAAGTGGAGTCAGATAGATGACACGCGATAAGACTCAGTTCCTGCGGATCCCCTCGGATATCATCGAAAGTCCAGCTTTCCCGCCATCCGTATCCGCCTCCGCTCCCGTCCCCGCAGACTGCCTGTCCTGAACATGTCCTATGAAGTAATTATGCAGCAAGAAAATCGTCTAGCAATCATTCATAACTCGGTAGTCGTAAGGGGGTATGAGATTCATGAAACGATTTGCTTATATGGTATCAAAAGTCGCATAGCCAAAAAGTTCAATTGCATCGCTGCGGTTTAGTCGGTGTAGCTGGCTGTAGCCTTCGTTGTGTCCCTGGTCTGTTTAAGAAACGGTATCAGATCTGTCCCGCCTGTTCCCCTGACGCCGGCATTGAGTTTCTCATGAGAATTATCCACTAATGTCGACGTTGTCGTGGCCAGGTTTGTCCTCGAAGATACTTGGTTCGGCGGCGGAGTCCTTGCAGCCATGATGATGTATCGAGTCACCATCCGCACATGCTTATCGCGGAATCCCCCAAGTGACATAACCGCCATATTGTATGCATCCCTCAGAGCAGATCCTGGCTTGTGGCTCAAAACATAGGATCTCACATTGGACGTGCGGAGCATCATTTCCAAGAAGCGTCGGTGAGGGCCTGGCATGTAGTTTCGCATGTTCTGGGAATATACAGTCAGTATCGACATTGCTTGGTCTAGATAATTCCTTAGAGATCAACTCTTACCTGCATAAAACCAGTCATGACTTGAGGATTGATCTTGCCGTGAGGCTTGGTCTCTCCGGTGGCTGAATGCTCCACGCCCAAGAAAATGTCGAAGGCTTGGATCAAAGAACTCTGGGCATTGCTACCACCACTGTATTGGTGCCACTCGCCTCGGCCTTCTCCAGTATCGTAGAATACACCATTTGGTAACCCAGCCGATGTCATGTTCTTACTGCCGGCCAAGTATGGGCGTAGTTGATGGTAAAAGACGGGTGGCGCACAATTTTCATACATGCGTTCCAAGAGGTCACCAAGTTCCTTCAGACCATAGTTCAGTTGCTCGAGACGAGAAACAACACGCTGGTTATCATCGACAGTGGCTCCATGCATGGCGTCGAGCATTATCTCGATGAGCTGCGCTCCCTTGGCCTCGATAGCGACAGAGAGAACGAAAAACCATTCTTCGTCCTTGGTGCCAGTAAACGAGGTCACCACTGATAGGTTGTCCGGATCCGTAACGTCCGTGTCAGCGGAGCGTACCGAAAAGTTCCAAAGATTGAGGGCAGCATAAGTGGCACATGGTGGTAGCTCTAAGTGGTTCGATACTTCGATGAATGGGCGTGAGATGCAGGGGGGTAGCACCTGTATAGTTGGTGTCAGTGAAAGCACGGGATATGTAGTGATAGACAAGAAAGGTAGTATTGAGACAAGGGGAGTAGTACATCTTTCGGCTTGTCACCACCCCAGATGTAGGCGTGTGTAAGGTAAGCAAGCACAACATATGCTCTCCGCCACTCAGGTTCTCCCCGCAACTTCTTCGTAGAGAGTATACCCAGGTCATCTACGGACCTCCTGATAGTACCTAACCGAATGAGTTCAGGCAAGTCTTGAGCGATGTTCTCCCAAGGAGAATAGTAAGGGTCTTCCAATCTCCGTAAGGGAGGAACTTCCGGGAGGAACCCGTTCTGGAGGGAGACACCGTACTCAATAAGCGAAATTTCTGGTGTGTAGAGCATGTTAAGAAGTGCAATTCAGTGTATAGCTTGATATACAAGACTTTGTGGAATAGTTCATTATGCAGGTAAGAGTAGATTCAAGTGTTTATATCGTATTCCCAAGGAGGGACGGAAGAAAGCCGGATCCACAGGGATCCAAAAAGGGGCATCTGGATGAGCAGATACAGGTTATTCTCCGTTCCACAACGACCATTCTAGAGCAGAAAGGCAGTAGGTTAACGGAAACTTAGCAACCACCCGGGTTTCTAGAGTGGATGCTGTGTTATCGCTCCTCCGGCAACACGGATGGTGAGGCGGAAGCGGAACGGTATCCGGATCCGGTGGGAGGGACAAATGGAAGTGCCTTGTGTCACACGCCAGTCCATATATAAATGTTAATTGGTGACTGTCAGCGGCTGGTTCCTGGTGTTCATCCGTTCCTTCTCGTTATCCTTCGATATCCTGTTCAATTACCATCCAAATCCACAATGTCGAAGTCGAATGGCGTCAGCCTGGCATTCCCCGCCGAAGCAGCGACAAGGGAATATGCAGCATCTCTAGACTCTTCTGATAGCCTTGCAGCGTTCCGGGAGAAGTTCATCGTCCCATCGAAAGCAAACATTGCTTCCAAAAAGCTAGCAAAGCCTGGTTAGTACCATTCTGACAGCTGTAGATCTCGTCACTGATTGTCACAGGCCTTTCACCCGAGTCATGCATTTACTTCTGCGGTAACTCACTTGGCATTCAGCCCAAGGCCACAGCAAAGTACTTAGAAGCACAGTTGGACACTTGGTCATCTATCGGAGTTGGCGGCCACTTCACTGATCTTGAGGGCTCACCCTTGAAGCAATGGCAGCTGCTCTCAGAGCAAGCAGCTGAATCAATGAGCAAGATTGTGGGAGCAAAGCCAGAAGAAGTCGCAGCGATGGGAACACTTACAACGAACCTTCATCTTCTGCTGGCTAGTTTCTACAAGCCGACGCAAACCAAGCACAAGATCTTGATGGACTGGAAGGCTTTTCCAAGTGATCACGTATGTTCGAAAGAGGCTGCCTTCTGCTATCACGGCACTGACTTCCATATAGTATGCTATCGAATCTCATATTGCCTGGCACGACCTGGATCCTAAGGAGTCTATGGTGCTCATCGGCCCAGACGAAGGCGAATACGAGATTTCCACCCAGAAGATTTTCTCTTATATCGACAAACATGCTGATGAGGCTGCTATGATTCTCCTTCCTGGTATCCAATATTATACTGGACAACTGTTCGAAATTCAGAAAATTACTAAATATGCTCATTCACGAAACATGGTTGTTGGCTGGGATCTTGCCCATGCCTTCGCTAATGTTGAGCTAAACCTGCATGATTGGAACGTTGATTTTGCAGCATGGTGCACGTATAAGTACGGAAATGCTGGTCCTGGGGCAATGGGAGGCCTTTTCGTGCATGAACAACACGGAGAAGTCGATTACAGCGCGGGAGAAGATGCACCCAAGTTCCGTCACCGTCTAACCGGATGGTATGGTGGTGATCGATCGGTCAGATTCAAGATGGATAACAGTATGTGTGCACATTGCTATAGACAACTCCGTGGGCTAGTAAGCTGATTCGATTGATATTCAGAGTTCAAGCCCATTCCTGGCGCTGGAGGGTTTCAGATATCGAATCCTTCGGCTATCGACCTTGCGTGTCTTTGTGCCGCCCTATCGGTGTTTGATGAAACATCAATGGCAGATCTTCGCAAGAAATCAAAGATGCTAACAGCGTACCTTGAGTTCCTTTTGCTCAAGGATACTGAAGAGGAATCCAGGCCGTTCAGCATTATCACGCCCACAGACCCCGATGCGAGAGGCGCACAACTGAGTCTGCTCCTCAAGCCTGGCCTGTTGCAGAATGTTGCGCAGAAGTTGCAGGAAGCAGGAATAGTCTGCGATAAGCGGGAGCCGGGTGTCGTGCGTGTTGCTCCGGTTCCTTTGTACAACAGCTTCAGCGAGGTTTGGACATTTGTGAATATCTTCAAGGGTGCGCTACAACAGTGACGGGGGTTCATTAGATCGCTTGTGCAGGACTGAGTTCGATTTTGATAGTGCGCTCTTTGATGGATAGTTTTAGAGATAGATACCAACATATTTTATTCTTAGTGTGAGGGCTTGAGGATCCCTCTGAGGAATGGTCCACAGTCACTGTGCAAAAGCAAATAATATATGTAGGGACTTTATGAGAGACTCATACTGTCGAAGTCATAAGTTTCCGAATCCGTTTCTCGGATCACCACTTCGCAGAAAGTCCTGGGCTTGCGAAAAGAAGTTTGTGGCTAATATTGAGTATTCATCGTAAGTAGGCAAGCCGACACCCATAGGATACTGTGCATCGGCCGTGATGATGGGGGTCTGAATGTTGAATTGAGATGTTGGCGACTGTGGTAGAGATTGTTGTGTATGCAAACGAAAAGGCTCCGGTAAAGGGGACGTCTGCGACACTTCGGCTCCAGGTGTGGGAGCTTCAGAATAGAGTGAGTCCCCAAACATGCGACGGGCTGACTCTGCGTCACTATTGGAAGAATACTCGAGGATCTCCCAGAAGCGCGAGAGATCTATGAGTAAGTACTTATTCTGAGCACCAGACTCAAGTTCATAGGATGCTGACACAGCATCTTCCAAGCTCTGCAATCTGTCCGCCTGTCTGAAAGTCAGCAGATAAAAGTGAGTATGGAAAGATATTCCCTTACCAAACGTGCCATATGTGGCCACTTGCGTCCTAGATTCTGCACGAAACTAACACATTTGTAAAACCTGTTGCGTTTCTCTTCGCGAATGGTAGTGTTCTCCGTGAAGCTAAGCTGCAATTCAATGGTTGCTACCACGGCAGCACTATAGCCCAAGAAAGGATCCGAGACAACGAAAGATCTTTCTTCGAAGTAGTCGATAAAATGAATTATCCATGTCGTGTGCGACGAGATCAAGTCCGAGCTGTGCTGCAAGAAAATCTCGGGAATCGTACTCCGGAAATTTCTGAGGCTGAGAGAGAGCAATAGCGGGTGATTTAAAAGACACAGAATCGTATGATATAGGAACTGATTCAGTAACCATGGTCCCCAGTAATCCCTCCTTTCTTGTAGATCCTCAAGTGTTCTTTCACTCAAGTTCGCTGGCTTGAACCTGTGGCTGTATGGCATCTGCGTTTCCCGTTCCATAAGAGCAGTCAATATTCTCGAATACTCAGATTGTGAAGACCATGGGGGTACGTTGCTAGGCTTCCCATGGCGTCTGACATATTTTGCAGTTTTGGCAAATATTTCACTGAGCATGATCACGTATGCTAAGATACCCTGATCCTGCATGCCTGATGACCGCGTTTCATTCGCCCCGTTGCTTGATGAAATCGTTGGAGGCGGCCGGCTAGGACTTTCTGGGAACTGGAGAAAGCAGCCATCAGGAAAATCTAGATTGTCGAAATCAACTCCGTGAAGACGCTTCAAGAGACAAATACTCCAGAAGCAGCGCCTGCGCTCTTCACGTGCAGCTGGGGGTTGTACTAAGCCAGACTCTAGGCCAAGGTTGGCACATTGTGCCAAGTTCATTGCCAAACTGCAATGGATGCTCGAACGGTGTGTGTTTCCATCTAAAAGTGATCAAGTCAGCAAGGCTATCATTCTGACATGTCAGTGGTCGTATTACTGGCAAAATCCACCAAACTCAAGAGGCATAGGCTCTGAAGAGTTGAGAGCTCTATCGGCCCTTCCGATACCCTCCTCATAACCAAGCCCCTGGCTACTTCCGTATAGCCATTCACAAGTGACGTAAACCCGCCAGTCTGCGAACTCTCGTCCTGAGAGAACCGAATGCTCAGCGCCAACATCGCATATACTATCTCTGGGTCACGGCTCCTCAGGCTATCGAGGAAGCCTTCCTTCTGAAAGAGTGGAAGGGGCTGCGAGTGGCAATATATCAGATAAAGCTCTGCCATCGCGAGCACCTTTTCCCAAGTGGGGAAGGGGATATTTGGGCTTAGAAGGGATGCCACTGCGTTGCTCATTACAGCAGTGCGAGGAGCAACTTCCCGTGGCTCTTTTCTGGGGCTGTTCTGCCTAGATTGAACAAGTTAGAACACAGATGACATCGCATGAGGGAAGCTATGTATTACCCCAGGGCATCGAGAACTTGCCCCATTCTAGCCTCAAGGCTTCCCAGTCGTTCCTCCTGTAGGAATATATCAGAATTCAGCAATAACCCTGTCATAAATATTGGCTTACCAAGATTTCCGAGATCCTGTTCTCTGAGCCGGGAGGCACAGAAGCCCCCTCCCGTGGGATGGCAAGCCCAGCTGTCGAAGATCTATGTTCTCCAGCATAGGCGCATTGCTGGTTTAACCGGGCGCACAAGGAGCAGACTGGCTGCTCCCCAGGACATTTTGCCTTCTTGCGTCTGCGAAGACTCAGTGAGGAGTGCGTCATATAGTGCAAGATCGGACTAATGTTCCGTCTCACCTGCATGGTTCACAAGCTTGCCGCACTCGCTTAGCCGGCCGCTCAGCAGATGTGGACGCCATGTCACACCCTTATATTCGCGTAAATGTGCAATGTATATAAATCATGGGATACTGGGACTTTTTTGTCAGTTACACCTGCTAGTGGAAGCCTTGTGCTGCCGTACGCAGGGACGCTTATACGCTCCTAGGAGGTACAATATCCCCACTTCTTGAGTATTCTCATTGACAGGTAGCAGTTACCATAGACTATTATCTTCATTGTAAGGCTATCTAAGCCTTGACATCCAGATCGCAGAGCAGGCGATATGTACTATGGCTTGAACATTTTGGAGACTGGGATGTTGAACTACCAGCCAAACGTTGGAAGGCCTTCCGCTGATTGTCAACTATTTGGCCGTATCTTGCTTCCCAATTTGGATAAAGCGCCATAAAAAGTAAGGATGACTAATCTACGGACAAGCTTCACCTCGATCAGGTAACTACATACGATACGTCTGGGCGATAGTAGCCTATTCGACAATCTTGGGAGGGGAAGTGGCCAGTGTAGCCGAATGATATACA